CAGTTTTTGGCGGCCAGCTAACATGTCAAGAGATTTATTGTCACCCTGCTATACCTAGGACTTCCTCTGGGCAGTTGTCCCTTGCTTCCTCCACAAAGGGCAGAAGCACAGGATACAAAACAAGTTCAGGAAAACAGGTTCCCTGCCTTCCTGGAGTCTGCTTATCTGAGTCAAGGCCTCTCCTATGCCCTTATCTCCCTTATCTTCCGTGGCCCACTCTGTTTAAGGTGGATTCCTCTAGTTTTTCCAGCCCTCCTCCTCCCCAGGCTGAAGAATCCTCTTTGTCAGGTTTCTTCTTCCCCGGGGCTGCTTCTCGCAGGGGCTGCTTCTCCCAGCGTGTCCTTCGGGCAGTCCCAGCATCTTTCCTCCTTCCTTGTAAGCCCCGGCTGCTTGGACATGGCCGTCATTCAATCTCCGGACCTTTTCTTCTCTTCTAACCCTCTCTGACCAATATTCTGCTTCCCTGAGCACGCACAGGCAGGAGGCCTCTGCTCTGCCCCAGAGCCCTGTGCCTGTCCTCACTCCTGAGCAGTCGCATTGTTGCCTCATCCCCAGGGGCTTCCCCTCCCTCAGCTGCTGCCTCTTGTTTTCTTCATGGGCTCCTTTTCTGTGACTTGTCCCAGGATTCCTCAGCATTCTGTCCTGGTTGCCTCCTTTTCTCACAAGGTGTCCCCTGGGTCACCTTTCTCTGTCCATAAGATAGGCATACGCCTCTCAGATTTAAATTAATTTCACTTGGTTTTGTGTAGGTGCCTCAAACTCAGCTTATTCAAAACTCTGTAGTTCCCACTCCCTTCCTCTGTTCCTGATTTCATTATTCACCTAAGTGAGAAACAGAAAATTTTTGTGTCATCCCTGGTTTTCTCTTTTGCTCTGGTGACAATATAATAGTGTCACCACTCACCTGTTTCTCTTCTATTCTGAGTTAGCCACAGGGTTAATTGCTAATGCTGATGTATGTGTGTGTGTGTTTGTGTGTGTGTATGTATATGAGTGTGCGCGAGCAAGTGTGTAGCATATAGCTAATGATGTATATGAATATATGTTTATATGTGTTCTTTTTGTTTATTGATCCATTTTTTAAAACTAGGAAATCTTTTCTGTAGCTCTCATTCTTCCAGTATATTTACCAATGGCTTAGGTTTTGATGCTCTTAAATAAGGGAAACATAAGACCACAAGCCAAACTATTTCAAAACTAGTGTATAAAACATGACAGGGAAATTCAAGAAATCAGACTGAGAAGGAGAAGATTTGATTTTCATTCAGATGGCATCTCCCTGTGTCTGGGGGAGGTTTTGGAGTAAAGACCTTCCCACATCTCCTCCTGCATGCCTGGTCTGAGTTGGGACCCCGTGGCATCTTTCCAGCATTTGAAACCTCGTTTATTATCAGGGTCCTTCTTCTCCCTTGTTCAGTTTATTAAGTTAGAGAATTTTGCCAGTGTCACCTCCATTTCTAATATTCCTTTATCCCGAATCCAAATCTCAGGATGTGTAATGAATCAGCTTGTCATTCCCATCTGATTGACTATTGAGCTGCGATGGTTCTCCCTCAAATTACAAGTCTGTTCCTTTCATCTCCATTATCATTATCTGAATTGGAAATATAGCCCACAGTTTTTGTTTGGCCTGCTTTATTATTCTTCAACTTTAATGCTGTTTTCCAACCTTTCCTTTGTACAACTCTCTTTACTTGACTCTTGTGTCTCCATTTTCCATTGTCTTGCCATATCTTTGATCTCCTTTTAGCGCCCCCCCCCCCAAAAAAAATATAGGTGTCCTCTGGATGCTGCCCTCTGGATGCTGCCCTCTGGATGCTGCCCTCTGGCTTGGTCTCTCAGGATTCTGTCTGGGCACTCTCAGCCACACTCATGATTTCAGCTTCCACCATCTGTTGACTCCAGAATCCTTGTCCTTGGTGCAGACTCTCTTGCTGAGCCCGAGATCTGTCATTCAATTGTCTACCAGAACATTATCTGGAGGTCTGCAGAATAGAGTAGATTTGAAAGATAACACATCACCTTCTGTCCCAGACTTCATCCTTCTTTGTTTTGTCTTGATGTAGTTCACCACCAGTTGTCCATCGTCCAGCGGAGACACTGGGGTCACATTAAGGCCTGCTTCCTCACCCTCCAATTTCACTGTGTCTCACAGAAATTCTATTGATTATTTTTAAAAAAATCATCTTTTAATTTTTTTAAATTTTTGTGGTACTGGGATTGAACCCACTGGGCGCTCTACCCCCAAGTTACATCACCAGCTATATTCATCTATTTATTTATTTATTTATTTATTTATTTTTATTTTGAGAAAGGATCTCACTAAATTGTCAAGACTGACTTTGAACTTGTGATCATCCTGCCTCGGCATCCCGAGTTGCTAGGATTCCAGGCATTTGCTGAGGTTCCAGGTATGTGCTTGTGCACCGGACTCCTGAATTCTATTGATTCTACTGCTTAAATCCTGAACTCTCAAATCTGCCTTCACATTTTGGTCTCATTGCTAAGTCTGGATCTTTGTTGTTTCTTGTCTCATCATTTTACTGTTTCCTAGTTACTCTCCTATTGTGTAGATGCCCCCCGCTTTTCTCCCTGCTTCCTAATATAACACCCACAGCTACAATTGGAGTGCTTACTATGTCTCAAATTTTACATGTAAAACATTTTGCATACATTCCCATCTCACAACCACAGGGAATAATTATAATCCTTGTACACTGGCCTCACAAATAGCAAGTGGGGGAACAGTTTCTTGGTCAGCTTTTTTGTCACTGTGACCAAAAGACTTGACAAAAACAATTAGAGGAGGAAAAGTTTATCTGGGGGCTTTCAGTTTCATCTCAGTCCATCGAAGGCAGGCTCCATTCCTTGAGGCTTGAGATGAGGCAGAACTCATGATGGAAGGGCGTGGCAGAGGAGAGAGGCTCAGGACATCCCGTCAGGAAGCCCGAGAGCTAGCTCCACTCAACAAGGAAGGACATCCCTGTGATCCCCCTCCTCCAGCCACACCTTACCAGCCTGCAGTCACCACTCAGTTAAGCTCTTTGGGGGATTAATTCACTAATTGGGTAAAGGCTCTCATAAGCGAATCCTTTCACCTCTAAACCTTCTTACATTGTCTCACATGAGCCTTTGGGGGCACCTCACATCTAAGACATAACGAGCAGGGACTGAGGTCGGCGGTGTGCTGTAGAACCCCATAGCTCACTCACAACCTCTGTGTGGCTTCCGAAACCCCCCCTGAGCCGGCCTCTACCTTACTTTTTCATTGCCTCCTACTCTGCCTGAGTGGACCTAGAATTGGGTCCTTTGGAACTTCTTGGTCTTCCTTAAAGGTATCATACTTTCTTATACCTTTGTGTGTTGGGACATGTTGCTTCCTCTGCCTTGAGATCCTGCCTTTATCCTTCAAGGCCCAGCTTAAGTGTCATTTCCTTTTGGAATGTCATCACTGTCCTGTTCCTTAGTTTGCTCCTGTTTTGTTCCCATGACACCCAGTATGCTCAACTGCCATCTTTATATTTATAAAAAATATATATAATCATATTTAAGTAAAAGTTTAAATTTTAGGATAGTTTTAAAGTTAAAGGAAAACTGGCAAAGGTGGCATAAAGAGTACCTGGAAAGTCCGCACACTCAATGTCCTTGTTGTTAATGGCCTGTGTCATTGTAGTGCAACTAGAAAACGAATATTGGCATGTTGCTCTTGACTAAATTTCATACTTCAGTGGGATTTCACCAATTGTTCCCTTGGTCCAAGACCCCATGTGTGCAAGCACACTGCATTTGGTTGTAGTGTCTCTAGTTTCTTCTCATCTGTGACAATTTTTCAGATTTGCCTTTTCCTTAATGACCCTGGTAGTTTTGAGAAGCACCAGTTAATTTTATTTTCATATATCCCTCAATTTGGGTTTTGTCTGATTTTATTTAAATTTTTTTTATGATTAGATGAGGCTATGGGTTTCTGGAAAGAAGCCACAGGGGTGAAGTGTTCTCCCATTACATCATATCAAGGGTGCACGCAGCAGCAGGACTCGCCACTGATGATGCCAACCTTGCGCAGGGCTAGCTGGGTCCTGACTTTCAGCTTCCATCCTACCCCTCTTTCCATACTCAAGTCTTTGGAGGCAAGTCACAGTAACAGCCCACCCCTAGTAGGGGGTGGTAAACTCCACCTGTGGAGGAGAGATTATCAACATAAATTAATTGCAGTTCCTTTGTTAGGAGGAATTATTTATTTATTCATTTAATTATATCAGTATAGATTCATTTATGTTATGCTTTGGATTATAATCGCTGTTATTTATTTTGTTGCTCAAATAGTTCCAACTTTGGCCATTGGGGGCTCTTTGGGTTGGTTCCTGCATCCCTGTAACATGCCCATCTCAGCCCTAGAAGCAACCAGTTCTCCAAGAAACCCTAGTTTTTTTTTTTTTTTAAATTAGAGAATGACATTGGGAGGCAGTCTAGGTGCTGGTTGTACAGGTGTTGTGAGGGCATAGCTGTGCCAGCACGTGCAGGTCATGCTGTACTTTAAGCTTTGACTTTGCCCTGGCTCCCTCGCCAGGCTGTAGGTACCTTGGCCACTTATTAAATCTGTGTTGAATGAGTGATGAATCTTGAAAATGTAATATCTTACAAAAAAGTTTATTTAGCATTTTAGAAAAGTCAATTTAAATACATCTTACTCTAAAGTTTGAAACAAAAAAGTGATATCTGTAAACATTGGCTATTCTAAACCCTGATGAAAGTCTGTATAGTTTTGGCATGCTGTTTCAGTTGTTTCGTTTAAATGTATTCTAAAAGTAGAAGTGCTGGTTAAGGCGCATTTTAAAGTTCTTGGTTATATTTCTGGGATGAGGTTTTTACATTCAAGCATCTGATTTTACAGTGCTGCCCTTCTGGGATGTAATCTTCAGCATCTTTGGGCTCTTGCATTCCTCTTTTGAAATTATGATAAATAGTTTTCTCTTTAAAGCCAGGAGTTTACACCTGTTCATGCTGATTTATTTACTTGTGTAGAGTATTGTGTCAAAGAACGCGCTGCAGTATCGGGGGAATTCCCAGCATGATGCCCAGGAGTTTCTGCTGTGGCTTTTGGACCGAGTTCATGAAGACCTCAATCATGCTGTAAAGCAGAGTGGCCAGCCTCCTCTGAAGGTGAGGACCTGCGTTCCCCCTACTGCAGTCGGGGAGCAGTGCAACCTTTTCTCCCCAACCTCCACTGAGGACTTGTTGCATTTAGTTAATAAAATGAAATTGACTAAACGCTGGGTGAGTATAAAATTAAGTGGATCCTTTCATGAATATTCCATCTTATTTGCTACTGTGTGGCAGTGTAAGGCACAAGAGATGTGGTCTCTGCTCACATCCTTGTTTAATGAGAGTGGAAACATTTGTTCTCCAATAAAACATACTCGGCATCATTAGAACAAACACACAATCCAAAAGGAAATGTATGGAAGCTGTTGGAATTGGCTTTGAGCATAGGAACTGATCCTCCAGAATGGTCTTACTGAGAAACATGACGGTCGTACTCCTTTTTTTATACACGTAGCCTTAATATGATAGGTACTATGATGTATATAATGGAAACAGTTTAAGACTAAAGAGATACTTTCCAAAGCAACTTTTAAAAGTTTTTGCTAATTTTGCTCTGTTTCAAATTTCAGATTTCTAGTTTTGGTAGGTTATTAAATTATTCTGATCAAGATCCCTTTGTGCCTACACACTCTACGCTGTCATATGACTTTATGCATGTTGCTGACTCTCTCACCAAATTGAGTCCTCCTCAAGGTCACTGTGTCTTATTTACATTTGTGTTCTGAGGTTCTGTATGTGGTAGTAAATGCTCAATAGCTAGTCCTTAGGTGGAGGGACATGAAAAGTAGAATGTGATTAGACTTCAGAATGAATAGCCCAGCTAATAGCTGCACTAGAATTTAGGCATGGGGAGAACGGTCCTTTCAAAGTGGTTGAGCTTTTTTTCTTGGAAGAGGTTGCGGGTTGGGGTGCTTTGAGAGTTGGAGGGAGATTGGAGCATACTGGGGAAGAAGAGCTGCCCCATCCCTGAATGGGCTGGAGGTAGAGAAACCTGGTCTGTCTAAGGAGATGGGTCCATGTGACCTACATGCTGTTTGCTATGCTTTGGTTCCTTTAACAGGTGCCTGTCACTGACGTATCTGGACATGATATGTAGCTTATAAAAGAAATTAAGGCAATTATGACTTTTTAGATTAATATTCAATAAAAACTTGGTACTTCTAGTCTGTGAATTGTACTTTTCTTTTTTAGCCTCCATCAGAGACTGATGGCATGCCTGAGGGACCATCTTTTCCTGTGTGTAGCACTTTTGTACAAGAACTTTTTCAAGCCCAGTACAGGTATGAACAAAGCAAATGTTCCCTCATATTTTGACATAGTTCAAGGTGATCTTAATGTGAATATCTTACGTTTTTGTTTTCAAAGATCTTCTTTGACATGTCCTCATTGTCAGAAACAGAGCAACACTTTTGATCCTTTCCTCTGCATTTCTTTGCCAATTCCTCTACCCCATACAAGGTAAGAATAGATTTGTAAAATTAAGACTGTACACTCTGATAGTATACCTTTTCCTCTATAAACTAATATTACATCTTTTACTTATTTAGGCGAATAATAAATTTAATGATAATTTTAATACATGCTTTATTAATTCCTTAAAGAAATAAGTACCTGTCTAAGTTTTCAGGTGAGCCTCAGGTTCAGCTGGTCATTCACAGACAGTATGGGGAAGGAGGAGGAATGTTGATTGACTTCTAAATTCTCTAGAGACTTTGCATTGTCCTTGTAATTAGGACAATGTTCCTCAAAACTTCCAGGAGTTAGGTTGTTTCAAAGGAAATACAAAAGACAGAATCAAGCGTTGTTCAGTTTTGTTTTATGAATATTGCCTTTTCCAAATTGCCAATATTGCCTTCTCTCTCTCTCTTTTTAAGGTACTGGGGATTGAACCCAGGGACACTTAACCACTGAGCCACATTCTCAGCCCTTTTTTAATACTTTATTTAGAGACAAGGTCTTGCTGAATTGCTTAGGGCCTCACTAAGTTGCTGAGGCTAGCTTTGAACGTGCAGTCCTCCTGTCTCAGCCTCCCAAGCTGCTGGGATTGCAGGCATGTGCCACTGCTCCTGGCTCTCCAAAGATCTCTTGATTGTTGTTTTGATAGTTCTCCTTAGGTCCAAATGAACTTTTTAAATTCGGTTTCTAAAAAGAGGTAGGGATTGCTTCAGTTTTTGGGTAGATTTCAGATCAGGTCTATTTTATTTCTATATTTAGTTAAAATAAGTGACTAATGAGAAGATCTGACTTTGATCTGTACAGGCCTCTCTATGTCACTGTAGTGTATCAAGGGAAATGTTCTCACTGCATGAGGATTGGTGTGGCTGTGCCTCTGTCTGGGACTGTTGCCAGACTTCGGGAAGCAGTGTCTGTGGAAACAAAGATCCCCACTGATCAGGTAATAATGCTGCCAAGACCCACTGCATGTGAGCCACAAAGGTGCTGATTCTGTTTCTCTGAAATTTTTTATAATTCTTTGCCAAATATGGTCACTTAGATATTTAAAACCAGTTACATGTAGTCTGAGGGGAAAAAGAAATCAAGACCCATAAGAATAAAATGTATAGAAAACTTTTCATCCTTCATTTAATCACACACACACACACACACACACATATGTGTATGTATGTATATATTTGTGTGTTTGTATATTTGAAAGGAAAGGCTTATATTTTACATCAACACCTTCTTTAGCTTTGTTCATATAGTATAATTACTTAATCCCTCCTAAATTCTTATGGTTGTGTATGTGAACAATAGAAGAACATTACTGTGATGTTTGATAATCAAATAGGCTTAGAGAACTCTAGAACACCTCTTCCCATTATGGTGATGAGAATGGACATCTTGCTAGTATCGTGTCCTGCTCACAGTACATACTCAGTGTGTTTCACCCCCACCCCCTGCCAAATCCTGGGGTTGAACCCAAGGCCTCCTGCATGCTAGACAAAGTGCTTTACCAATGAGCTACTCCTTCAACCCTATTTTGTTTTCTTATTATAACTGAACCAGAGTCTCTTACTTGTTGAGATAAGGGAAAGTTGTGATTCTGTTTTTGGGGGAGTGGATCTTTGATAAGTAGTTAAAGTTTAAATGACCTAAAATGTTTTGGCCTCTTTGTGACTTGACATGTTTTTACATACAGTTTTTATTCAGTTCACTATTATTATTTCATTTGGAAAAACATCCCTTATTTAAGATTTGACTTCATAGCTAAACAACTTTTCCCTAGATAGCTTCTGGAAGCCACTATGTAATCACTTGAACAATAAAGGTGTTTTGTAGTCTGGCCTCATGTGGCCTTGGTTGGGAAGTTACCACAGTAAAACAAACACAACCAGTAGTGTGGCCCCAATATAGCAAATCTCTCATATTTTCATAGGCCTCGCACTGGCACATTGATAAAATGTTCATATTCTTCCTTACTCTGAAGAGCTCATTGATTCTTTTTTCCCCTCCAGGATGAGGGAAAGACGGAGAAGGAGGGAGAGAGACTTTGGTGGGGTCCAGAGAAAATCTGGTTGCATCTTTAAAGCTTCAGTGCTGTCTGGCTCTTTGTGCATGTGGTTCAAATTGGTGAAATAATTACAGTTTGCGTTGACCTCGGCTTGCTAAGGAGAGGGAATTATATTTGTGTGTTCACCAGCAGAAAAACAGCATGGCCAATGAATTCATTAGAAGGAAACCTGCCAGGAACATTTTCCCTGGGCTATTTGTAGAGTAGGTCACCAGCTCCTTTCTCCTCATAGACTGAAGAACGTTAATGCTGATGGGGGACCTTAGGGGTGCAGTGCAACCTTCCCCTTGCCCCATTTGAAGGAGGCCAAGAGAAACCATGTGATTTCTGCAAAGTCACAGGGCTGGTTGGTGGCAGGCTGGGACAGGAACCTTCTCTTGCCCAACCCAGTGCTTTTTTACCAGACAATGATGCCGAGCCTGTAAAGAGGCACTAAATGTCTTCATTGTTTTCCCCTTATCTTTTGTTTTTCTGTTTCACTGTAAAATACTTAACCATTTCAGAAGTACAACTTAGAAAGTGGAAGTATCCCAATACTAAATATTTTCCTGTACTGTACTAACTTTAGTACTGTTACATAGTGTTCATTCAGATTTTTTATGTGCATACGCTACATTATTTTATAAAAACATTGTTTATACATAACTTTTTTTTAACTTTACTTTTTTCCTTGATAGTGCAAATATATGTGCTCATTCTTTTTCTAATAGCTTTATAATTCTAGTAGAACTATAATATATTTCATTAGTGACTGTTATTGGACATTTGAGTTGATTTCATTTTCCCCCGGATGTCCGTGATTATTTGACATTTTCAATCTGAAAAGGGGGAAATTTAATGATGAGGGAGCAGATGCTACAGTCAGTTGTGAACTTTGTTCTTGGCATGAGATGGAATAGTTGTGCATCCTTAGGTGGGTTTCTCAGCCTCTCTTTCCTCTGTAAAACCAGAGAGTCTCCTGGCTCTCTTTTGCACCAAAACCTAAAGGAACTCTGGGTTAATGCCATAGATTTCTGAAACAGTCTGCATTGTCACACAATCGTAGGTGATATTGTGCTTCTAAGATGCTCTCACTGAAAGCAACAATGAGGGCCTGCGGGATATTTCAGAGCCTTTTTAGAGCGCTGCCAAGTCTTGATGGTCCAGAGAAGTTCATGGTGGAATTAGAAGATCATTTTGTATTGAATTTCCAGCTACCCAACTATTTTTATTTTCCCCACATTTCAGATTGTGTTGACAGAAATGTACTATGATGGGTTCCACCGTTCCTTTTGTGATACAGACGACCTGGAGACAGTCCATGAGAGTGACTGCATTTTTGCCTTTGAGACTCCAGAAATATTTCGGCCTGAAGGAATTCTCAGTCAAAGAGGTAAAGGAGCACCTGTTTCCATGCTCTTACCTGAGCTCTCAGGCCTGACAACAATCTCCCCTTTCAGATATAATATCATGTTATAAATATTTTTTAATTGTGAGAAAGTGCACACAGTGCTGTCCACTCAGATTTTCTTTATGTTTTGCCTGACAGTTATTTTTCTTGCTTTCAGTCAAATCCCTATTTCTCTGCCAATAATCTTTCTGAACCCCAGACCTTATTCCTCTTTATTGAGCATCTGACTGCTCAACTGCCTGTTGCACACAGTTCTCCACACTCCTCCATGGTGCCTGCCGCACCAGCTTTCTCTCCCCACTGGGGAGATTTACTTTAAGCTACTTTAGTCTCCAATTGTCTGTGCATGAGTGTTCTAATATTTCTGTTCTATTTAAAGGCTATGTTATGCACCTTTTAAAAATTTGTTTTCTTAATTTATTCAGAGAACATAGGTGCACCATGTTACACACCTTTTTTAAGATTTGTCTTCATACTTACTCAGAAATCACTTCTTGTGTTACCACCAGACCTACTGTTGTTCTGTATCTCATTGCAACAGGAATTTGTGTTCCTCAGTGATACATAAGAGTATTAATAAGTGGTGGTTCTGAGTATTAGGTGGTAAGCTCTTTCCACTGCCAGCTTCGTATTTAATTTTGTCTGGCCCACTGATGTTTATATTTCTATATCTATCTATCTATCTATCTATCTATCTATCTATCTATCTATCTATCTATATTTATTTTTTAGTTTTAGTGGGGCACAATAGCTTTATTTATTTATTTATTTATTTTTATGTGGTGCTGAGGATAGAACCCAGTGCCTTACACGTGCCAGATGAGTGCACTTCCGCTGAGCCACAACCCCAGCCCCTGCTTATTTTATTTTCAGGTACTCTGTTATTTCAGTTTTCATTCTTCTTTGACCCAGGAACTTTCTTTTCTTCCAGTTGTTGCATTTTCATTCATATGCTTTTGTTTACTTAAATTATTTTCTAATTTTATTTCATTACAGTAAAAACACCCAGTCGTCACCTGTTCAGAAAGCCTTCTGAAAGTTCTGTCCTCTGACACCAAGGCTGGCTAACTCCCGCTTTTCTGTGTTCCCATTGCTTCTGCTATCTCTTAAGCTAGCGTGTGTGTGGAAATGATCTGTTTTCTCCTCTCTTTCCCATCATGTCTTTCCCAGTATGATGAATTATAAGAATTCTTACAAAGAATTCTTATAATTTAACCCCAAAACTACAAAGTGACTTACAAGAGTTGTGACCACTCTTTGCTTCATTTTTTGATACACAGTAATTCCTAATATGCAGCAAAAGCCCAGCTAATGATTGTTCAACTGAACATTTTCCCAAATTCCCTTTCCCATCCCCAGTTGTTTAGGATTAACACTATGTGTCTATGCTGAAGTAAATTTGTTAAGTCCAAATTTATCACGTGTGTTTTGGCTTCTGATCTAAAGACCTTACGAATGTTTGGCCCAGCACATGTGAGGCATCCACTTTCCTCACTCTGCTTAGGAGGGGGCTGTGGCTGAGAGCAGTGAAGTAACTGGCCCCAGGTCACATGGCTGTAGGAGATGGGTCCATAATTTGAACACCGAGTTTGATTTCTGTTTAGTTGAGTGGCATTCTCTTATCTCATTATGGTTCTGACCGCTTCTAGTGACCTAAGTCTTCCCACCCTGACCTCTGTCAGGAACCTAGGAAAGGAGGTCATTCATTGTTTCAAATTCAGATTTCTAATATCTTTTATTCTCATACCAAAGTTCACGATGGTTATGAAGTGAAATCAACTCTTGTTCCTTTTGGGATTTCTTTATTGTGTTATGTTCAGAAAGCAATGGGAGCACAGAAAAGCAGGAGTTAGCTAGCCTTGGGGTCAGAGGACAGAACTTTCAGAAGCCTAAAAAGTTTTCTTCCCTCTAATAGCTTGATAAAGATTCAATTTTTTTTTTTATTTCTAGTGTCTGTGATTTTTTTTGTCATCCTGTTATTTTGGTATTAATTATGTAGTCATAATTTCAAATTGCTATCATGCTAATATATCTTCAACAACATCTTGTATTGCTGGATATTTAAGTTACTATCAGAATTCTGCTATGAATAATTTTGTGCAGCCATTTGAATTTTATTCTTCTGATGGTAGTGTTATTATTTATGATGGTGGTAGGAGGGGCTTCTTTCTTCTCTATCATTTTACTAGACTATATACTTCCAACGGATTAAAGAAATGAACTGATATTTAGTCAGTATTTATTGACCTGCTGCAGGGCCTTGTGCAGGCTAGCTCTAATTGACAGGGAGGTCTGCTTTAGGACCTTGTGGAGACTAGTACTATGTCTGCCATACATCTATTTTTGTTAACTTTAATGTGAGTTGATTCAGTCCAGTTGATTTTGTTAAAGTTAGCGTGTTCTCATCATTATGAGAGTCTTGTTTCTTGTAATAATCAGGAATGAGAAACTGCTGTTGGGCTGGGCACAGTGGCACGTAATCTCAGAGGCTTGGGAGGCTGAGGCAGGAGGATCTAGAGTTCAAAGCCAGCCTCAGCAATGGAGAGGAACTAACAGTGAGACCCTGTCTGTAAATAAAATACAAAATAGGGCTGGGGATGTAGCTTACAAAATAGTGGTTCAGTGCCCTTGAATTCAATCCCCAGTACCTTGCCCCCCACCAAATGAAAGAAACTGATATTGGAACATTATAGACCATTTCAAATGTTCTTGTCTTTATTATTAGTTTTTAAAATTTATTTGGTTGCTGGGGCTCACTTTAAATTTTATTGCTGGATTATCTCTGCAAATTTATTCTTCTGAAATTGTATCTAACATTCATTGAAGTGGAGAATTTTGATTTTCAGTTTTTAAGATAGGTAAGGCTAATTTAAAGAAAATAATAGATGCTAATTTTTTTTCCTTAAAGGCTACCAGAGTAATTTCACAGGAGAGTATTTGTTCCTATTTTCAATTGTAGTTTAAATTATTTTTTTTTTGAAAGTATTGGGGATTGAACCCAGGGGCACTGAGTTCATCCTTTAGCCTTTTTAATTTAATTTTATTTTTTTGAGACAGGGTCTCACTAAGCTGCTTAGGACTTCACTAAGTTACTGAGGCTGACCTTGAACTTGCAATTTAAAATGACATTTTTTTTTCTGTTGGGTAAATGTCTTTGTAATGCATGAATGAATGAAAATAATTTTGAAGAGGTAAAAAGAGTAGTTTTTATTCTATTTCAGGAATTCACTTAAACAACAATCTCAATCACTTGAAGTTTGGCTTGGATCATCATAGACTGTCTTCCTCCACACAAACAGCAGCAAAGCAAGGGGAAATGGACCCGCCCACCACCAGAGCAGGCAGTGACAAGATTGTCGTGCTGGTGTGTAACCGAGCCTGCACCGGGCAGCAGGGGAGGAGGTGAGGCCAGCTTAATTTCCAATAAGTGCTGAAGCTTTCAAGTTTGCTGCTTTTAAATGTTTAAAAAAAGCAGGGTGAGAAGCCTTACATTTAGCAGGAATAGTTGTGTAAGTTGACCTGATTCAGTGGGAGGGGGAGTAAAAGATTATGATGTGAGTTAGGAAGCCTGTTACAGCTCATCTGGTTTTGAAGGCTTATATGAATATTTTAGTTCAGACTCTCTTAGGATGCTGGACCTGTATCCAGATTGTCCTTTCCTTTTTAATTGGTACATGATAATTGTAGAAAACAGTAGGGTTCATTATGATGTATCTGTGCACCCACATAACAGAATTTGGTCAGTTTCACTGCCCAGCACCTCCCTTTCCTTCTCCTCCCTCCCTCGATCCCTACCTTCTAGTCCACTGGTCTCCTTTCTATTTTCATAAAATTTTTTTCCTTTTTTTCTAGCTTCCACATATGAGAGAAAACATATGACCCTGACTTTCTGAGTCTGGCTTATTTCGTGTCCAATTCTATCAATTTTCCTGAAAATAACTTGATTTTGTTCTTTTATGGCTGCATAAAACTTCATATATATACACACACCATATTTTCTTTATCTATTTATTGATAGGCACACAGGCTGGTTCCGAAACTTGGCCATTGTGAATTGTGCTGCTAGACATGGGTGCGCATGTGTGATTATAGTTACTGACTTTAATTCCTTTGGATAAATACTGAGGGGTGGGATAGCTGGGTCTATGGTGGTTCCATTCCTAGTTTTTTGAGAAACCTCTGTGTTAAATTGCATAGTGGTTTATAATCCCACCAGCATTGTGTGAGTGTTCCTTTCCCATCTCATCCTCGCCAGCATTTGTTATTATTTACATTCCTGATGACCGTCATTCTCACTAGAGTGAAATGAAATCTCAGTGTAGTTTTGATTCACATTTCCCTGATTGCTAAGGATGTTGAACATTATTTCATAGCTTTACTGGCCAGTTGCAGTTCTGCTTTCTTAATAGCTTTTTAAAAAACAACCCTTAATTTATCTACTTTGTTAGTGCCTGCCCCCTAGTCTTAGGTCTCAAGCTGAGCATTTTACTTTCACCATGATACTGGTCCTCCAGTATCTCCTGTTGTGGCAGATGGCACAATTGTTCACTCAGCTTTGCAAATCAGAAATTTGGAACTCAGAAATCGCCCTCAGATTTCTTTTGCTGCCCTAAGAATTTATGGGAACTTTAGACTATCTTTTAAAGTAGCTTTGTCCCAGTAAGGTAAGTACCTTGGATGGTAAATACCATTGATGTGAAATGTGCTAATGTGTATATTGATCGTATTCATTAACGAAGGTGTTAGTGTTAGTGTCAGCGCTGTTCCAAACCCTAGGAATCCAGCGGAGAGCAACACAGACAGGGCTGTGTCCTCAGGGGGCTTGCACTCCCAGGGCCAGGCTGGCCTTAAGCAAGTGAACAACACATTAAGCTTGAGACAGTTAGCACCGTGTTGAAGACATCAGTGCAGGTTAGAGTGAGAGGGTGTGAGTGAGGAGAGGCGGCAGCTCTGCACTGGAAAGGCAGCTGGGAGGTGGCCCCAGGAGGCCTTAGCTGAGCCCAGTCCCTGTGAGGAGGAGCAGGCTGTGTGAACGTCCTGTGTGGCAGGAACACCCCGAGTGGACACTGTAGGAGGCTGTTTAAAGCTTGGGAGAAAAGGCAGCTCCTCATAATGGAGTTTCTTGGAGCCCATTTCACACCACAGTTGTTTTCAGGAGGGTAGGTTCACTGTTAAGTAGTACTGCGGGTAAACAGCTCCATGACTGTTAGGAATGAGTTTCCCAGTGATCTTTTATCTCTGCTTCAGCCTTGGCCTTAGAGCTCCCCTGGTAACTAGGTCGATTGATCATTCCTTCATTCATCATCTGCTATTTTTTAGGCATGGTTGGTTTAGGTTACTAACGCAAATCAATAACAGTTCTTGTTGTCAGATAACTCAGTCCATTGGTGGAGGCAGAAACACAGTATTTACAGCATGGTGGAGTTAGTGCCATGGCACACATAGGGAGAAAATAACCAGGTGCTACCTGGAGAAGGGTGTGTTCATGGGTATGAGTAGAAGACAGCCTAGAGAAGGGTGGGAAGGGTGTTCTAAGCTGGGGAGTGGCCTGCACAGAGACCTGGACATGTGGAGCTGGACACAGTCAAGGATCAGCACATAGGTTTGAATGACTCTGGATGTAGGTGAAAGTTGAGGCTGGGTCAGTGACCTTCAACTTCAGCTGCATACTAGAACCACCTGGGAAACTTCTGAGAAAATCTCAGCGTTTGGGGCCACATTCCAGACTGATGTCATCAGAATCTCTGTGGACTGGACTTAGGCATCATTATTTTTTTATAGTCCTTTGGTGATTTCACTGTGCATCTGAGGCTGACAACCACAGAGCTGCCTTTGATTCTCCAGGACACAGAACCTGGCAGAGGCCAAGTGGTGTCTAGCCTAAGGTGGGTGCTGACTTTCAGTGTGGCTTGCTGGCCAGTGCCTCTCTTGTTGTCAGAGGCTACCAGGACACGGCTGCCTGCCTGTTGGGCCTTCCGGCCCTGCCTGCTCCTCTGGCACCTCCTTGTAGGTTTGACCCACACTGTTTGCCAGATTCTTGTTTGTTCCCATCCCCTTTCTCACCATCCCTGCCAACCCTGTCCCTGGATGCCTGGTAGCCCAGCACCATGCTTCCCTGGAGTCACTTGGCATGGAGGCTGTTGAGTTTTCTTAGAAATCGAGGCTGCACTTCTGACTTTGTCATCTTCTCTTTATGACAGTTACTGTTGACTTGTCTGTTCTGATTTGAGAACTGTCCTAAAACCAATTATGTTGTCATTCCATTTTAAAAGATGAAGAATAAGGAGTTAGGCCATTAAAGGAATTGCCATACTTTTAAGGTGATGCCAGTGTTTCTGTTTGGTAGATTTGGACTGCCTTTTGTGCTGCACTTAGAGAAGACGATAGCATGGGACCTTCTGCAGAAGGAAATCCTGGAGAAGATGAAGTATTTCCTGAGGCCTACTGTTTGCATTCAGGTTTGTAGGCATTTTGATATTCTAGCAGAGTGTGCATGTCTACACAGTGAAGAAACAGCCATTACAATGGAATTTGAATTTGTTTTGTTCAGATTTTTAAGACTGAGAACTTATTTCTCGTTTTATGAATGGAGTTGGTCATTGCAAGCTTTCCTGGACTGCTGTATATTCCTTTATAAAATTTATTTAATAAAGTTTGGAGAAGTTGCATAACCATCTGTATATTTTAAAAATGATTACTATGTTCAGGCACCCATGGAAGACCATTAAGTTAATGTTCAGCGAGAGCAGTGTATTATTTGTCTTGTATGACATTTGGTATATAAATTGCATTTGGTTAAATCATATTTAATAGTGTATTTGAGTGGCTCAACAGCCTAACAGATGTCATAGAGAAGCATTTTGCAAAACAGTTTGCTGTACCTCTAATCTGTTTGGAAATGCCACTGTAAAACATGCCTATGAAGAGAAAGTCATCCTAATTTTCATTTAATACTTGACGCAGGTGTGTCCGTTCAGTTTGCGAGTGGTCAGTGTTGTGGGAATTACATACTTGCTGCCCCAGGAGGAGCAGCCCCTGTGCCACCCAACAGTAGAAAGGTAAAGAGGAAAAAAAATTCACCTTCCATAATTTCACTTATACTCCATGTGATGTTTGGTGTAATCCCATGTTATGTTCTTTAAGCTCACTAAGAAACTGTACTTAGTTCAGTTCTGATTCACACGTGAGTATGAAACATTTTATGGATCTTCCTTAAAATCAGAAAAGCCACAGAATATTCATGTTAGGAAAACAAATTACAGTTTCCTATTCACCAAGACTGAAGTTTTCCAAAATAGTGTGCTAGTCACACCTCGTTCCTCCTTGAAGCCTTTCAGTGGTGACTGTGGCCTACGAGGTGAAGGCTGGCTTCCACCGGATGCCAGATTCTCCACAGCCAGGACTCTGAGGACCTCTGTTTTGTGGGTCCTGCTCTTCCTTTCCCTTCCACCCCAAGCCTTCCTCAGTATCAGAGTACCAAGGAGCATTTGTGCACGCAGCACCATGCTGTGTGTGTCCTTTCTCAGGTGTGACTTCCACTGTCCATAGTGCCTTTTCTTTAAAGTTTCTTTATGCTGTTCCTCTTTCTCTTAGTTAGTCGATGTTCCATGCTGTTTCTGTACTTTCTACATCCTTCTATTATGTTTACAGTAGTCTACTAATAAAATAATGGATATGTGAATACACCATATACATATGGATATATAAATATCAAAACTCACATTGTCTTTATTATAATTTCTTTTAACAAAGGAATTGTGCCTACATTTCAAGATTTTCAAAAGGTACATAACATTGCTATTTGAAGGCTCCCTGTTGGTTTTAAAGAATGGGAACTAATAGATAAGATAATAATAAAAAATATTGAACAATATAAAAAAAGATTTGTTGAGTGATTTTAACAGTGACTGCTGAAAGAGTTTCTCAGAAGGTGGCCAGTCCAGTGAACTGGGGTAGTGGCTTTATGAAGGAGGGAAGAAGAAGGCACAGGGTAGGCGCATGGTGTGGAGCAGGTGGAGAGGTGCGAGGTCAGCTCTCCCCGGGTTGGTGGGGAGTCGGGCAAGAGCTGGAAAGGTCACATAGAATGTCCGAGAGTAATTGCAGACAGCCTTATAGTGAGTTACTAAATTTCTTCTAATCTATTTCTTCCATTATTTCTGTATTGGATATTTTAAAGATTTTTTTTTTAGCCCACTTGTAAACTATTTACTAAATCTATGGTTGTAATGGAGTCACTAAAATCTTTTTCTTCCGGGGGAACTATGAAGAGTTTTAGCAATTTTATGATTGTAGATAGGCCATAATCATATTTAAGTAAAATAATTTTTTTTTAAAGATAGCAACTTGGAGCTTCTTCTCTCCCCCATTCTATAGGGCATTAAAATCTTGTGGACCAGGTGGCACTGCTCATGTGAAGTTAGTGGTAGAATGGGACAAGGAGACAAAAGATTTGTGAGTATTCTTTTACTTAATATTTATAGAATTGTTTTATTTTAGGAGCACCCCATTGATCTTCCAAATTAGCTAAAATACAGAGCTTTCGTCTCTTCAGTCTCTAAGCATATCGTTAATCCTTTATTTAAGCAGCTTAATATTTCTTTCTTATACATTTTTCCCAACCTTAAAGCCTTTGAACATTTATTTACTACTGAGAGAGAAGCCATATTCATTAACTACTGTATAGGTCCAATTTGATTTTTATTAGAAGTCCCTCTGCCCAAATAAGCTTTATCGAATGCTTGCCCTTAGAGATGAAGGACAAGAATACATGATTTAATGGCACAAGTCATGGACAGCCCCAGAAAAACTAACTCCAACTTAGTTCCTAAAATAACTTGCAGATGGAAAACTTTTTCAAGAACACTTTGGGACATAGAAGAGTTAGATGACCTCCTTTGCTTTCTTACACCTCCATCTTCATGGTTATGAATTCATAGCCACTTTGTAAAACTGTAATAATTGTACTTTTGTGTCCGTGTTTTAAGACATTCTGTGATAATGTCTTTCCCTTTAATTGTAGCTTATTTGTAAACACTGAAGATGAGTATATCCCAGATGCAGAAAGTGTCCGCCTGCAGAGGGAGCGGCATCATCAACCTCAGACCTGCACTTTATCCCAGTGTTTCCAACTCTACACCAAAGAGGAACGAGTAAGAGCCAGGCAGCATTTCTTGGGTACTGAGTTGGTAGGGAAGGGGGAATGGCAAGATAACAGTAAAGAAACAGATTCTGCCCCTCAAAATCCCTAGGATTTTACATTTTCCTAGTTTTGAACATGCATTGAGTATTCTGTTCCTTTTAGGACTTCAACAAAAAGAAGTTTAAATTTTTGATTAATTGGAATGCTCTTGAAATGAACCTTTATAATTCTTTTTTTTTTTTTTAATCGGGCTCATTTTTTGGGGTTGTTTTTGTTTTACTTTAGAAGTTTTAAGTTGTTTTCCTTTGTAATGAAAACGGTGTTTCTCATCGTAATACCTGTATGCTAAGAATGTAGTATCAGGACCTATTTAAATTAATTAAAGTAAAATGAAAAATTCAGTTCTTTTGTTGCACAAGCATCATTTTAGGTACTCTGCCATAGTTTGGCTGGGCATAAAATAACTGAGCCGCCATGAGGCACTTGTAGGTTCAAACAGGAACTCCTTTATTGCCCGAACTCCACCAGTACTCCACGTGCACTCCCCGGGAGTCCCCTGTTCTCCATGGGGCTCAGCGCAGACTTAGCGGGGAACCCCCTGAGAGCTCAACTAGAACTCCAAAGTAGTGGGGGGGCGGGCGGCAGGCAGCAGGAGCCCTCCTGTTGCCGGACTGCAGGGTCCATATACAACTCAATACATAGCCTGTTTCAATCCAGCATCATTCAGTCACAGCACTCCTTCTGGCAAAATGCCATGGGCCAACCCGACTCGGCTATGGCTCTCAACAGTGCTCAATAGACCCACATGGATGGCGCCTCCTGTACTGAACAGAGCAGATGTAGAGTTCTGTTGGGCAGCAGCTTTGGACTGTTTAGCACAGTGCTCTGCAGATAGTAGGACTCAATAAATATTGAAACAAATGGATGGACAGATAAGATTCTGTGGGAGGTAGCCAGCCTTGTGTGGTTTCTATGTGACTTTGGAAACCTAGACCAGAGCACATGGAGTTCATTTGATCTTATGTTGATACTTAGGATCATAATTTTGATCATTAGTTTCTAGTCTTTACTCCTGTACTTAGGGAATATTGCAATTTCAGGCTCAGAGGGAACTTTAAAGCTCCCTTTTTCTAATAGTTTAATTATTCTGCGTACTTTAAAATGGGTGACTGTCCAGCCTGTGTTTGAATGCTTTCTGTAATGAGGGGTTTGCCTGCTCAAGACTTGACATATCATTTCCTCTCTGGATAGCTCAAATGGTGACCCCACTGATCTTCCTAATTAGCTAAAATATGCTTTCATGAAATATGCCCCATATGAAATATGCCCCCATCTTAGTACCACCAAAAGAGGTGTTCTCTCTCTTGAGTTTAAGACTCGAAAGTCATAACTTTCTTCTACTTTTTTTCAAATATTTGAAAATAGTTTTCATCTTCTCACAAGTAGTTCATAGCTAGTTCCTTTAACAATAGTTTTTCACAAGACATGTTTTATCGGTCTTGGGCTTAATTATAAAATAGCTTTGAAACTGTTGATTGCAGATTCTATGTGACACACTGTTCTATTTAGTTCTTTTTATAAAAAATTGAGCTGAGAGCTGGGAGTGGTGGTGCACACCTCTAATCCTAGCAGCTCAGGAGCCTGAGGCAGGAGGATGGTGAGTTCAAAGCCAGCCTTAGCAATTAGGGAGCGAGGCCCTAAGCAACTTAGCAAGACACTGTCTCTAAATAAAATATAAAAAGGGATGGGGACATGGCTTAGTGGTTAAGTGTCCCTAGGTTCAATCCTTTGTCCCCCCCCCCCAAAAAAAAAAAAAAGTTTTTCTGAGAGATTTTTGAGAATGGCACAAAGCTTAGGGGTGAGCAGATCTGCTAGATGATAGTATTGGTATCTACAAAACATTGTACATACCTACAGTGATGAGTTCATACTAGCAAGATGTTTTTCTTGGGGTTTGTTCATTTAGATGTATTGAATATACCTGCTATGTGCTGGCTGCTGCGCTAGTCAGGGGATACACATGTCAAGACAGACATCCTGCTATCATGCTGAGGGGATAATTAATAAAGGAAGCAAAGGTCCTGGGGTAGGAGGGAGATTGGCATGGTAGAAAAACAGAAATAAGACCAGTGTAGCTGGAGTACAAGAGGTAAAGGAGAGAGAATTAAGACAGTGTGAGCTCTATCTGGCTTTCACTAAATAATCTTGGTATCTAGAACAGTGCTTGGCACATAAGAAGTGTTCAATAAATACATCATTGAATACATGAGTGGTACTTGGACCCCAGAATCCAGTACAAATACAGAAGTAAAGGCAGTGGGACTTAGAAGTAGGCTGTGTGGTGGTAGCTGTGGGGTCCAGTTGTCTGCAGCCCAGATTGATCAGCAGCACCACATAGGCATAGGCCACTGTCGTGCTGCCGAATGGATACCCAGAACTCTGATAGGGACAGTGCTGCTCTCTTCCTCATATTAAATGTTCCCTGGTAGGAGGATGGCAAACTGGGACACATCCAGAGAGAGCTGGTGGGCTAGCACTGGAGGTCCTGTCGTTGCTGAGCACATCCTCCTTAAGGACCTCATAATCATTTTCAGGCACTTGAAGGACTATCCTGTGCATGAGGGAGTGGACTTCCCTTTATATAAACAGCAGAATCTAAAGATTGGGAAGGGAACTTAGAGAGTGATGTTATTTTCATGTCAGGAAGACTGAAAGTAGACTTGCTACCCGCTGCCCTGTCCCCTCCCCACTGCCAGGCAGTGTCAGCTGGATCAGTGATGCTCAGAATGTTGTCTGCAGGTCGGGAGCTCTTCAGCCACGTGCAGTGAGATCATTACAGAACCAGAGAAAGATCGGGAACTCTCAGAGCAATTAGATGGTGTCATGCCGTTCTCACTGTGTTTTACAAAAGTGTGTTTGTAATATACTGTGATTTAAACAAAGAAAACCCTGTTTACTTACTACCAACATTGGGCTGGATGGCCAGGTATGGGGAGTGTAAAATGTCACAGAGAAATGCAGGCTTTCCGGATGACACTGGGTCTGATTTTCTGATTTACTTTCATCTCTCCAAACTTCTGTCCCTTCCCAGTTTTCTTACAACCATGTCTCTTTGTCATGGAAAAAAACCTTCCTTCATTCTGCTTCCTTCTCAGGTTCGCCCCAGTCTTCCTCCCGCTGTGTTCTGCTGAATTTACCACCAGTGGTTCCCCTCTCCCCATTCACTTGCTCCTTTCCTCCTCCCTCCCTCCCTGCCAAGACTCTCTCTTGTCCGACTTGCATTTTGGACCCGGGCCTGGGTGTTCTTGTGGCTCCTTGTGTGCCTCACTCAGCAGCCTCAGCTCAGGCTTCCTTTGACCCCCGCGTAGTTCATGCCCCTTATGACCACCTGTTCTCCCATTCTCTTTTCATGGAATGTATAGAGGAAATGTTTCTGACTTGCCTTTTTTTTTTTTTTTTTTTTTTTTAACTGCATCTTCAGGCCTGGTGGCTTCTGAGTTTGAGTACTTCCTTTAAAAACATGCATCCCCCGAGATTCTGACCTTGGTGCCTTTGTCTTCCAAATCCATGGGAATGTCATCCATTCCCAAGGCTTCCCATACCTCACACATTGATGACATCAGATCTATCTTCTGAACTCCAGAGCATATTACAATTTCTCACATTATGGCACCTGTAAATGAATGTCCTCATTGTGAAATTTTTCCGTACAGAGATGACATGTGGATTTGGGGTCTCAGGTTGATGTTTAGAAGGATCTTGCTGGTAGCAGGAGGGGTGGCTTGTTTGGAGCAAGTCAGAGTTTGTGGGAGAGAACAGGAGATGTGAAGAAGTCTAGGTGAGAGTAGGTGAGGACTTGGAACCAAGGTGGTTCCAGTGGGTGTGGAGAGGAGGAGGCACGAGAAATGGCAGAGAGAGAATTACTTTGGATGGACATGGACAAGAGGAGGAGGGAAGTAGGAAGGTTCTAGAGTTTGGAATGAACCCATGTTCCATCTTTGGTGGGCAGTACTGGTGTTACTGAAGTAGGACATACAGGAGCAGAAGGAAAGGTCCATGTTCATCATAAGATGAAGAGTTGAGTTTGGAGCTCTGCTTAGTTGGGGTGCGTTTGTGACATCTACAACCTCTCTGTGGCATTTACTAGTTTGATTATTTCTCCTTGAAGGATAATCTCAGCACTTGTTCGGGTGCCAACTCTAGCCAGGTACCAGCTGTGATTGTGTTACTCCATTGTGCAGTGTCTAGAGAGATTGTGCGTCGTGCTGTGCGCTGGACAAGAAGTTAGTACTTCTGTCTCCATAACAAAGCCACGCGTTAAGGGGTCTGGAACTGAAGTCACGCTCCTTGTTTTCAGCTGGCCCCAGATGATGCCTGGCGTTGCCCACACTGCAAGCAACTGCAGCAGGGGAGCATCACGCTGAGCCTGTGGACTCTGCCTGACGTGCTCATCATACACCTCAAGAGGTTTCGACAGGTAAGGGAAATGCAGCCGGACCAAGTTTCTTACACCCCCTGTGGGTGCTGTGGGTGGGTTCTTTGGTGTTCCTGTTGATCCCCTGACCCTGTCTGGATGGTAGACATATATTTACCCCTATTTGGGTTTGTGTTTTGTTCTTTCTCAAAGCAAAATTTGAGCATCCTGTGACCCTTTAAATCTTGAATATTTTAGTTCATATTGCAGATACTTTACTTTGTTCTCGAGGTTTGCTTTAGACTTGTGAATGTTATGCTTAAATGTTGTTAGGTTTTCTTTAGTATTTAAGGGGAAAAAAACGTTAAGTAGAGATCTCTTCTGGGGGAGGTAGGATTGTGCATCGTGCCGTGCACTGGACAACCCTTCCCACTTCCCTCCTCTTCTTGTCCATGTCCTTCCAAAGTAACTTGTCCTGCTCCCAAGGAGCTATTGTATAGTTGGGGAGATGAGTCAAAAATATAAATATATACAAAGAAGCTCTGCTGTTTATTGTATTACTTCGTGATTCATCTTTTCCAAAATGGTTATTCCCTGAGTCCAGGATTGCTCTAGACAGCCCCACTGTAAGAGAGGCAAATGGGAGGTGAGCATTGGCAGAATCTGTGAGGCCGGCTTTAAGGTTTGTCCCTGAGAGATGAGCAGGTGTCTTCCAGGTGAAAGGAAAGCAGGGGTTCACACTGGTAGTGGCAGAGGGAGCAGTGTGTGCAGAGCCTGGGCCCAAAGGAGTGCAGCACTTGGAGAGGCAGAAAGTAGGCCAGCGGGGCTGCGCTGCGGAGCGTGGGATGGTGGTGAGAACTGGGATAGGAGCAGGGCTTCTTGTCCAGGCAGACCCTTAGAGGCAGTGTCGCATTCTGGCGAGGTCTTTAAGCAGAGAAGCAGCACTACTCAGTGTTTGTTTTTAAGAGATCAAGAGAGGCCACAAGAATGAGGGCAGGGAGGCCTGGAGGAGGCCTCTGCAGTCATCCCGGAGGGCCATTGCTGGCTTCAGGTGGAGTCTTGGCCTGGAGATGGGAGGTGTGAATAGATGGAGAGGTGTTCAGCTCCGAGGAGGCAGAGAGGAAGAGGTGACATGCGCTCGGTCCCCATGGCTGGGGTTTTCCCCCCAAGGCTCAGAGTTGAATTCCTGTGGTAGAGAAGGATGGCATTTCCCTGCTTACTACTGGGCTCTGCAGGTGGAAGCCTGGTTGAGGGTTTGGAGCCCAGCCTTTCTGACTCCCTGCTCCTTTGCTGTTGGTTCCCTTGACGGCATATCTACATCCCTTTCAGAAACCCAGACCCAGAAACGCAGCAGCGTCTTTCACTTTTTTCTGGGCCTTCTCCTCTAGGCAGGCACTTCTGTGTGGCTGTGGTTGTCTCCCCCTGACTCCTGATGTGTCTTCTTGTACCAGCTGTCACCCTGCCAGCGTAGATGCTTTGCTACTCTCCAGTGGTCTCAGTTGCAGTGTCTTTGGGTTGATTTCTTGATGTTGCCACTCTGCCCCTGTAACTTGTTCTGTGTGCTGCTCACACAGTTCTTCACCCATGAGTCAGGAGACATCACCTCCCTCATAAAAGCCTCAGCATGTCCCCTTAGCTACAGAATAAGGCCCACATTCCTCAGCCTGGCCTTACTGGCTCTCAGGACCCTCTGTCCCTTTCGCTTGTGAGTGCTTTCCTTTCCTTGGTAGAGTCGAGCTCCTTGGGAGAGGAGTATCTAGGCCTGGTTAGTTTTAAAGTTCCTATGGACACAGGACACATGCAGTAAATGTCTGTTCAACTAGTGGTTGGTGTCAGAGGGATTTTCCATGGGCTTAATGGAAAGTGCAGGTTGACCAGCTGTCAACTAACTGAACATGTCAAACTAAGTCAGCATGAACTTTTAATGCACTTGTTGGAGGAGGTGGGGAGGAAAGGGATGCTGCTTATTGACTCTTCTGTGCAAGGTCCTGGGTCTTACCCTTCAAGTGGTTGTCACTGTTGATTTTCATGCCTCTGACAGGTATTAGGGTGAATCTTGTGAAATTATCAATTTTTTTTGTAAGGAAAAAAACCTAAAAATTCTTAGTAGATAAGGAAATGAAGACTCACGGAGGCTCATTTACCCCCAGTGGTTAGGCCACTTTTAGTTGTGTTAAAACTGGTTCTTCCAACTGCTTAAAACTGTCCATCTATTGTCCTGTTTTATCCGTGTCTTGGGAACTACTTCAGTGATTAGGGTCCACATTCCATGGTCACTTGATTTGCCATCTGTTTACATTAAAATATCATCAGAACTTGTTTTTCTTCTTGCAACAGGAAGGAGACAGGCGTGTGAAACTTCAGAACATGGTCAAGTTCCCCTTGACTGGCCTGGACATGACTCCTCATGTGGTCAAGAGAAGCCAGAGCAGCTGGAGTTTGCCATCCCATTGGTCCCCGTGGAGGCGGCCCTATGGACTCGGGAGGGACCCTGAGGACTACATCTATGACCTGTATGCTGTGTGCAATCACCATGGCACCATGCAAGGGGGGCACTACACAGGTCTGCAGTGCGAGAGGCCCGCGTGTCTGTGCTCACGGCTCCTTCAGGCGGGTGTTGCTTGTGACAGGGTGACGTGGCTTTAGAGCCTCCCTTTTTCCCGTGGGCAGGGTGCCCCTGTGAGGGCAGTTTCATGCCACAGGTCTCTCCCCAGAACTCTTCCTCTTCCTCCTGAGCTGGAAGGCGCAGCAGCTACCAGGCCTGAGTGGCAAGCATGTGTCCCAGCACCGTCCGCTCTGCCGAGGAACTGCCCTCGCGCCCTGGCTCGCACTCCCCAGTTTAGGTTTTGCTCTTCTTCTGAGGCCCTAGCTTCTCCCTCACTTAGGGTGACTGTGAACTGCTCTTACAGTGTCTTCATGTACTTACCTTTCATTTATAAAAGCAGCCGTGTTCCTCATGTGAAATTTAGAGACTAGAAAGAACACCATCATCTGTGGGTTGATCCCTTAAGCAACCCTTGCTAACATTTTAAAAAATTGTGAAATGTACATAACAAAATTTATTTTGTGTTAGCCATTTTCAGCATACAGTTGGGTGGCATTAAATACACCCACATTGTTGTACAGCCATCGTCACTGTCCCTCTCCAGGACTTGTCTTATCTTTCCAGCTGAAACCCTTGTCCTGTTATATAGTACTTTCCATTCTCCCCTCCCTGGCCCTGACAGCCCCCACACTCGCTTGTCTCTTGAATTTCACAGTCATAACTACCTCCCACAAGTGGATTTATACAGTGTTTGTCCTTTTGTAGACTAGTTCATCTGTGTTGTAGCCTGTATCAAAATTTCCCTCCTTTTTCACATTGATTAGTGTTCTTGTGTGAGCAGGAGCCCTCTCACACATGGCAGCTATATCTTCCAGGGAGTTGGTGTTGTTATTCTACACTGGTGTGTGCGGTTCAGTCGAACGTTTATTAAACACCTCATATTTAGCTTGCAGTGAGCTCTATTACACCAGAGTGGTACATGCTTGTAATTCCAGTGGTTTCAAGAGGCTAAGGCAGGAGGATTTCAAGTTCAAAGATAGCCTCAGCCATTTAGTGAGTCCTGAACAACTTGGTTAGATGCTGTCTCAAAATAAAAATAAAAAAGGATGTGGCTCAGTGGTTAAGCACCCCTGGGTTCAATCCCTGGTACCCACCACCAACCCCCTCACTTCCCGCAAAGAAAAGGAGCCATCACGTGTAGTAGGTTCTGTGGTAAAGGTATGTTTGTTCTGTGGTGAGCAGTGGGCTGAGGTGGGGTGCAGGGGCTGCACGTACCACAGTGGCCCCATACATTTGTATCATTTAATGATGTCAGAGTTGTCTTTGTGGAACTAGGTTTCCAGGATATTCAGACGACAGAATTGCCTAATGTGTTTCTTGGAACATATTCCTGTTGTTCAGCAACACGTGACTGTATGGTCATCCCCCATTGCTGAGCATCTATATTATTTCTGGCTTTTAACCTTTAATCTAATAAGATGGACATCTTTCTGTATATGCACTTTTTCTGAATTTTAATTCTGTGTTTCCTTGAGATTGAGTCTCAGAAGTGGAAGTGCTGGGCTAAAAGCATGCACGAACCATGTGGAGGCCAGGCAGACCATAGGGCTTCTTGTTTGGACATCTGTTTGTGTGAAGGTTGAAATGAGGGTGATTTGTTCATTTGGTATAGCTGGATATGGTTTCCAAGACTCAGATTTCTGCATTCTTTATACTCGTTGTATTTCACCCATACTTCTCAGGGATTTTATTTCTTCATCAACTTGGTCGTTTATGTTACAGTTGCCTACCTTGATTTTTAAAGGTAGTGGAGATGAAGGCAGGTTGGTCTCTTCCAATTGGTATTTTAAATCCCCGAGACTCTCCATAGCAGGTAGCCGCAGCCCGCCCTCCCTCCCATCAGCATGGTGGAAGCAGGTCCTCTCATGCTCCTTTCTTCAGCCTGCTTTTCCCCCTAGCGGGAGGGTAGGAGGTCAGGAGAATGACTGGATGCAAGAGACTTCTTGTTTTTTGATTTTATTTTTTGGGGGGTACTGGAGATTGAACCCAGGCCTCGCACATGGTGAGCAAGTGCTGTGCTACTGAGCTCCATCCTCAGCCCTGCAGTCTCTTGTTCTTGAAACCTGTTTAGTTCAAGTTCTTTAACTATTTCAATATTGTAGGCAGCAGTTGTTTGTGAGAGGACTGTTCCCAACTTAGTGAGATGCTGTCTCATGATGGAGTGGTTTGAATTGCCTTGAACCACTTGCAGGGAGAAACAGAAGGTAGGGAAGTTCCAGTCAAGCAAAATGTTAGTTAAATGCTTAAATGTATTTTATCTTTGTATTTTGGCTTAAGCCCAATTTAAATTGTGATGTTTTATTTGGTGTCTTGCATGTTTTGGGTTTCTGTTTCATGGGGGCCCCCTCTGTTAAGGTTGTGTTGAGTTGAATCGTTTCTCTTGTGGCATTACTAGTAATATCTGTGTTCTTGGACACTGAGCTGTGGAATCATAGATTCATGGATCTTAGAACAGAGAGGGACTTAGAGGTGATTTAACTTCACTAATTACCTAATGTAGTCATGTCTTTGCCAACATCCCTGATTGCTGTTCATCCAACTTCAGCTTTGGTAAAGATGCCATCTTCCATTTAGAGCACTGTTTATCAGGAAAATGTCGACTGGCTTGTTAGCATGCTTTCTAGCAAGAAATTATTGGGAAAAATAGGACAGTGATATATTTTATCACATCGTGTTGCTCTTTACATAGAACAGACTTTGGAAAATGCCTGAAAAACCTAGAGGCAGTATAGTTTAATGAAAGCAGTTCTGGTTGGAAGTTGGACCCATCTTCCCAGCTCTGTGGCCTTGGCCATGTAGCCTACTCTGACTTGGGGACCACGGTGGGACCACGGTAGTGTGCAGGAAGCAGGCCTGCCTTTCTCACAGGACGTGTTCCCTGGGAGGTGCTCAGATATTTTTGTTATTTCCCCTTTCCCATGCGTAAGCCACATTGTTGCTCTCCTGGTACACAGAATGTTAGAGTACATCTTAAATACCCCAGCACTGTGGGTTAAAGGGCTTCTCTTGTTAAGTTTTCATTTGGAGTGTCTGTTCTGATGTGTTTTTGGTTTTGCACTGGGTCTAGCTGTAATTATGTGGTTTGTGTATGGCTAACTTGTGCAAGGATCTAGAACAGAGCTTCTCAAATCATCTGCGATAAAGACCTTGTTTTTTCTATTTTAAAATTCCAATCCTTCACAAGCCAGCTCTTTTTGTAAAAATATAGCAAAACACTATGGCAGCACTGGATTGCTATGAAAGTTTTTGAATGCTTCTGCATTTTGGGGACAGCACCAATCTCCTGCCACAATTTGAGTAGCACTGGCCTAGGAAACACCTCAGAAAGTAAGGCTAGGAAGAAAAGCAAGTAGAATTATTTTGTAAATAACATTGTTTTCTCGTTAGTGAGTTACTGTGCTACCTTAGTTTCCACACTGTGATGCAGAGTAGACCAAAATTAGAGCACAATTATCTGTCCCCTTCTCTTGGATGTCTCCCCACTCCTTACAGTTCTAACTCCCACTTATCACCACCTCACCAGTGGGTGATGTATACATCAGGCCTGACCTGACACAACTTGAGTGCTGTTTTTATAGCTGTTTGCTGCTTGTATCTTCGTTTCTCTCCTCTTCTGGTTCTTGATGAGTTCACAGCTGCAGAGGACTTTCTTCCCCACATTTGTAGATTCTTCCTCTGCCCTTCATTTGAGGACCTGTTTGGTATAGTAACCCTTCCCTCTCTGGGTTTCATCTCTTATAGTGCCATACTTAGAAAAGTGTGTGGCCTGTTAAGGGTTTACTCCTGGCACCTCTCAGGACCTTAGGTGCCCTGTCCTTGGGTATACTAAGTCTGTTTCAGCATCCAGCTAAATGTTCTAGCACTCATTTATTCTCGATCCAGTAAACGGATATTTTTAGGAAATGTGATAACAACGTGCCTTTTTGGATCAAGCTTATAAGACCCTTTGATATATCCTTTCAGGATAATTTGGTTTTGAGAATTTTATTTTATTTTTTTTTTTTTGGTGCAGGGGTTGGAACCCAAGCCTTGTGCATGCTACAGCCCCGGCACCAAACTCTTTCAAGTTTTTGTTTTTTCTTGCTGGTTCTTGAACGCACTTTATTTCTACCTGAGCTTGGGATTTGAGCTGGGAGAGGGCCTTGTGCCTTCATGAGCTTGTGTATTCTTAATTTGCCAGGGACCCTCTGTGGAGCGCTGTTGTGTTGCCCCCTAGGGAGGCAAGGCAGGGCAGGGGCTGAAGCTCAGGCTCAAGTATCATATAAACCTAAACTGAAGTTGGCTCTGTACTTCAGCAAATGCATGCGGGTGGATGTGCTGGGTAGTCTTTTTAAGCCGCTATAAAATTGGGAGTAATAATAAAACAAATCTCAGGATTAAATGAAATTCTTGGTATACAAATGTTGAATATTAGATACTGGGTTAGTAGTAGTATTTCTCTTTATATTTCTCATAAACACGAAATACTGTCATATGCTTATGTCAAGATTTTTTAAAAAAATATTTGTTTAGTTATACATGGACACAATATATTTATTTTGTTTATTTTTATGTGGTACTGAGGATCAAACCCAGGGTCTCATACGTGCGAGGTGAGCACTCTACCGCTGAGCCACAACCCCAGCCCCTTTTGTCAGGATTTTTAACCCTGGAACTATTGACATTTTGGCTGGGTACTTCTGTGGTGGGGTGGTGTCCTGTACATTGTTGATAATTAGCAGCATCCCCAGGTGCTGGGCACTTCCCCCATCCCTCTTCAGTTGTGACAGTCAGAATGTCTCCATTCTTGGCTAAATGTCTCCTGTAGGGCAAAATTGTTCCTGGTTGAGACCCAGTAGTTTAAATAAATAAGTATATTTTGTTTTCTAAGGTGAAATAGAACTATATGAAATAATTTGGAATTTCTTTAAACACATTGTGATATGGAATTTGATTTTATTAAAAAGTTTCTTTCTGTGTTACTACGTGCAGACTTAAAAAGTTCTTGAATTAGTTGTATAAGCCAAAGTAATGGTTTCTGGATGGAATGGAACAGCTGGCGTGGTCTCCTCTGGTACTGACCATGGTCTCTTTTTGGCAGCATACTGTAAGAACTCTGTGGATGGCCTCTGGTATTGCTTCGATGACAGTGATGTGCAGCAGCTGTCGGAGGACGAGGTGTGCACGCAGACAGCCTATATCCTCTTCTACCAAAGGCGGACAGCCATCCCGTCGTGGTCAGCTAACAGCTCAGTAGCCGGTAAGGCTGACTGTTGTTCTTGGACAGGTTTTTCTAGAGCAGAAGATTGTAGTTCATGGTCTAGGGATGTCTTAGAGGCTTCATGACCGTCAGTTTGATCAGGTTAATCTTCACATTTCTGTTAGTCTGAAAACCAGCTTGATTGCAATTAAGGAAGTGGGGTGGACTGTGTGGCAGCCATGGACCAGCACAGTCCATGCAGTGGTGGGCAGAGCCTGGCTCAGACAGCCTGCGCCTGTGCCTGTGGGATAGATGCACGGGGGAGTGGGTCAGTAGCCTGGCTGCTGCTCTCAGACCTTCTCCTGGAGCATGGTCCACCTGAGCCACATGGTCATCACCCAGCATGGGTGTAATAGTCATAGTCCTCCCTTATTGGATCATTGCTTGCATTAAATTAGGTAATGGATGTGAGAACACTTTGTAAAGGGTCGACGAGTACCATTAGGAATAGTTCTTTTTTCCAATAAGATTGACTTGTTCTCTTTGGGAAGGGATTGATGACTGTAACAGATGGCTTGCATTTAGCCCGTAGGATCTAGCCTGTTATGTTAATAAGCATAGGAACCAGCACCCACCCACAAGACACATGCAGACACAAGACATAATCCAAACAAGGGCACATGTGCTTCCTGCTGTAAAGTTTGACTTTAAGAGAATGTGGCAGAGGACAAAACATGGTACTGTGTTGACAGGGTAGGGTAAGGAATGGTGACCACTGATTGTCTCCAAGCCTGGGAGAGGTGAGTTCAAAGAAGCTGAAAAGATGCCTTCCTCAAGTGCAATGAGCCCTGCTGAGCCAAACTCGCATTGTGTAGCTGCTCACTTCCTTGACAGGAAGTGGGAACTCAGTTGCTCTGAGGCTTCCCTGGGTGCTCTACCAGAGTCAGAGATGCTCAGAAATGACATGCTCTTGTCTGCTGAGCCAGTAGTGCTGCTTCATGTAGTCAACCTCAAGAGCACTTTCTGTTGCACTATTGTATATTGAAGGGCATTTCTGGAACAAATAGGAGATAGGACTGATGGACCTGAAAGGACGTGTGTGTGTGTGTGTGTGTGTGTGTGTGTGTGTGTGTTATTAATATGACAACATGGTTAACAATTCTGTAAGGCAGTGAAGCTAAGAATAGTGCACATTGCTCCTTTCTTCTCGAGTCAAATGTTTCTACAGGTGCTCAGAATAGTTGCATGCTCTGTAGATGCTTAATCCATATTTGTAGAATGACAGACATGAATTGTTGTCTATATCCCATCTTTTTTGCCAACTTTTATGGGTCACATACTGCGTTCTGAAGTGGTCATCCCTGTGCTTGCATTTCATTCCTGCCTGTGTGCAGGAGCTGACTTCTGTTCTTCATCTTCACTGGGGTAATCAGCTCTGGGAGTTCACGGTGTCCTTAGGACAACAGATGTCCCCAGCTTGGCTTGCAGCACGTCCGTGAGGGCATGGGCAGTGCAGGCTGGCCACAGGACCTGGCTGACCTCAGCTCCCATCTCCTTTTCTACAGGCTCCACGAGTTCCTCCCTGTGCGAGCACTGGGTGAGCCGGCTTCCAGGGAGCAAGCAAGCCAGTGTGACTTCAGCGGCCTCCTCCAGACGCACCTCCCTGGCCTCGCTCTCTGAGTCCGTGGAGATGACCGGGGAAAGGAGTGAAGATGATGGTGGGTGTGGGTTTTGCTGATGGATTTTCAAAACAGCAACATACAGACACAGTGCAGGGGGCCTCAGGGTTAGGAACAAAGTCCCACGGACATCACGGGAGAACTCAAAGTGGGTAGGAGTGGGGCTGCCTAGCTGCAGTTATAATTGTAAGAAGTAACATTGTTTAAGGACATGGTCACTGGCTTTTCCTCTATGACCCAAGACTTTATCCACATCATCATTTTCCACTTTTATGGTCTAGTGTGAGGCTGAAGCTTTAACTGTATGATAATGTACACATTTTTTTTTCAAAGTGCTTTTATAATTTTCAGAGTGGCTGTAAGGGCTCAGTGAAGTTGTGCTTGCTCAGGGCCACCTGGTGAGTCCCAGCCTGGCAATGAGGCCCCTGACAACTTCAGCTCCAGATTTCTTACTCTGAGCGTAATCACAATATAAAAACTGGGCAAATCTGATTAAAAATTGAACTCTGAAGCCTTCACTTACCACTAGAGTAATGGCAGGATAGACCTTGGTCCTAACAGGGACCCCAGGTGGTGTGGGAAAGATCAGGCAGCCACTGCCCTGAGAGCTGGAAGGAGCAGAGGGTGAGCTCAGCCTCTGTAATGAGGGCGGTGACTCATCCTCCAATGAGTCTCACTCTGCGGCCAGCATTTGGATCGCCATAATCTGTCTCTAGCGATGATGGATAATTCTGAGAAAATGAAATGGAGCTCAGAGTGCAGGAGGTTGGGAGAAGGTGGCAGACTAGGAGATCTGTATCAGGGTTTCAGCTCTGCCACTTTGTCTGGCTTACCGCTGTTTTATTTGTAAAATAAGAATATTGGACTATAATTGCTAAGCTCTTTCTAGCTCCTGACATTTTGTGAAAAGTCAACTAGTAAGCCTTTGCTTGTTTAGGTGGAGGTTATATTCAACATAACTTGTAAACTTAGAATTCACTGTCACCTTAATGATAAGTCTAGATATGGGTTGCCTTGATCTATTTTTAAACAGTGTAGTTGGTGGAATCAATATCCTCTCAAGCATTATCATCATTTAATGGTTCTGGATAGTGCCCACAGAACAGAGGCTGCCTCTTAGGAATTTATGCAGAGTTTCTTAAATGCCACAGCTACAGTATCAAGTATGAATAAAATTCAATTTAGAATATTTCTTTAGAAGTTTTAAGACACTACAAACTAACATATTGTTCTAATTATGAGGGTTTTCTTTGAAAGTGTTAGGTCCCTTAGGTTTGGTGCAGATTGTATCCAAGTTTCTAGTTTCTAGCCATTTTTTTGTTACCTATGTGGTTGCTTTTGTGCTATGGTGGCAGAGTTGAGCGGTCGTCCATGCAACCTAACATACTTCTGGTGGGCCTTTACAGGAAGTATGGTGACCTGGAGGGAGAGCCAGGAGGTACAGAGAATGGTTTGCTTACCCCTGAGCTAGAAGGTTCCTCTTTTATAGATAAGGGAACTGGGCTTCAGAAGGTTGAAGTCATATGGCTGTGACCTCAGACAGGTGACACTGAGAGTCATACTCCCGTCATTACATGTGGCCTGCTTTGGGTCCACCTTTACCATCTTAAGATGCTACAGGAATGTTTTTGTGGGTTTAGCTTAACAGAATTCTCTCTGCCATGTTTAGGTGGCTTTTCAACTCGGCCATTTGTGAGGAGTGTCCAGCGCCAGAGCTTGTCCTCCAGATCGTCTGTGACCAGCCCCTTGGCTGTTAATGAAAATTGCATGAGACCTTCTTGGTCCCTGTCTGCGAAGCTGCAGATGCGCTCCAATTCTCCTTCCCGCTTCTCAGGGGACTCTCCAATTCACAGCTCTGCCTCCACCTTAGAGAAGATCGGGGAGGCAGTAGATGACAAGGTCTCCATCTCTTGCTTTGGCAGCTTGAGGAACCTTTCCAGCAGTTATCAGGAAGTAAATGATAGTCACAGTCGACGAGAACACAAGGCTGTGGGCCGAGCCCCCCTGGCTGTCATGGAGGGCGTGTTCAGAGACGAGTCAGATACCCGCAAATTGAACTCCAGTGTTGTAGATACACAGAGCAAAAACTTAGCACAAGGGGATCGCTTACCTCCTGTCTCCGATGCATTTGATAACAATAATCAGATTGCTTATGTGGATCAGAGTGATTCCGTGGACAGCTCTCCAGTCAAAGAAGTGAAACCCCCAGGCCACCCAGGCTCGCTCACAAAGAAACCAGAGAGCACAACCAAGAGGTCCCCCAGTTCCAAAGGCACTTCTGAGCCAGATAAAAGCTTGCGGAAGGGGAGAGCAGCCTTGGCAAGCCAAGAATCATCTCTTTCAAGTACATCTCCTTCTTCTCCTGTTCCTGTCAAAGTTTCTCTAAAGCCTTCTCGCTCTCGAAGCAAAGCGGATTCTTCCAGGGCCAGTGGAAGGCATTCATCCCCTGCTCCTGCCCAGCCCAAAAAGGAGTCGGTCCCCAAGTCCCATGATTCCGCATCGTCTCCCTCGCCTCAGAAGCAGAAGTCGGCTTCTGCCCTCGCTTACACTGCTTCCTCTACATCTGCCAAAAAAGCCTCAGGCTCTGCCACCAGGGGCCCCTTCCCTCCTGGGAAGAACAGGACTTCAGACCGGACCTTGAGTAGGGAGGGCTCCAGACAAAGCCTGGGATCCGACAGAGCCAGTGTCACCTCCATTTCCAAACCCAGCTCCCCTCGGGTGAGCCAGGCCAGAGCCGGGGAGGGCAGAGGTGACGGCAAGCACGTGCGCAGCTCCTCCATGGCCAGCCTGCGCTCCCCCAGCACGAGCGTGCGCTCAGGTCTGAAGAGGGACAGCAAGTCTGAGGATAAGGGGCTGTCCTTCTTCAAGTCAGCCTTGAGACAGAAGGAAACTAGGCGGTCGACGGACCTTGGCAAGACAACCTTGCTGTCTAAAAAGACAGGGGGCAGCTCTGTCAAGTCAGACAGTAAGAGTGCCAGGGATGACAAGGCCGAGAAAGGCCCCCAGCCTCCGGGCCCCCAGCAGCCAAATGCCCATGCAGTTGGAAAGGAGCAGCTTGTCTCTAAGGACCCTGCCTCCGCTAAACATTCCCTGCTCTCTGCTCACAAGTCCAAGTCTTCCCAGCTGGATTCCGGACTTCCCTCATCTCCCAGCGGCAAGCAGCCTGCTGAGAAAGCCTCCAAAAAGTTACCTTCTAGCATGCAGACCTCTGCACGGCCTTCTCAGAAACCTCAGTGACATTCCGCAGCCTAAATGTTCTGTCTGTAAAGATGTTTATTTATTTAGCACCCCTCCTCTCCCACCAAAGCCCTCTATGCTTTTGTTTTGTTATTTTGTTGGGGTCATGTGCCTGATTGTGTGTGCGTGCGTGTGCGTGAGTGTGTGTTTGTATGCAAGGAGAAGTCAGTTGTAAATTGTTAAAAGCGTCGCCTTATTCTGCCATTGAACCAAATAACAGCCATAGGCAAAGCATTGATACCAGGCTAACTGGAGTAATTATAGCCAATACCCAGACAGTCCCTTTAGCAATTGTATATATTTCTTTCTAGAGAACTCTAATGACTTTCATTGGACACTAGGGTCTTGAAACCTGTGAACCAGTTAAGCTATCATTAGTGTGTGAAAGGGTGAATTATTTGACTTGGGTTTCATCTGAGCAGGATTTGTCCACACTGCGGATTGTCGAGTGGCACCAGGAGCTCTAAAAACTGTGACAATAACATATGAAACAAACCGAGATAAAACTGTTGCTTTCTGCACTTGTGCCCCATTTACCAGTCTTTGTAAAGGGCAATATTTTAACACTAATGTTTCTCAGGTATCTATACTCAGCTAGTCCAGGATGGATGTGCATCAGTAAATGGATTAAAGAGGAAGGTGACATGTGGGTGACTGTGTCATTTCTCCTACTGCCACAGAGACATTACAGAGGTAGAAGCAAAGTCTTAGACTACCTTTATCTCTGCAGAGGTGTGCAGCACCCTCACCTGTCTTAACTCTTGAGATGTGTTCCAAGAAGTAGCAAATTGGATAGCCAGGATCCAGTCACTAATTAAATTTTTTTCCTTCTACGTTTGCTAGCTAAGTCCATTTGGATTTTGAACTGTAGCAGAGCAGTTAACACCTTTGAAAGATTCCTGGAAAAAAATGCATTCTAAACTGGAGGCATGCATCCTACCATTCTCCTCTGGTATTGCTTTTTCTGTTAGAAGCTGAAGGCTCCATGGTGCCCCCATCTGCATGCTTGTGTCCCCTCATCTCATAGCTTGAAAAGGAAAGAAGTCGCTTCCTGCCAACAGTCAGTGATGGTGTGTGGAAGCAGTGTGTGACACAGTATTACAGATGCACTTTGGATCCCGCTTGTCAGTTTTCGTTCTGACTGCTTTTCAGTAACTCATTTATATCTTCTTTGTGCTGAAGATGTAATCGCACGCCCAGACCTCACAAGTGGGGTTTGGAGTGTGTTCCATCTGGCAGTGTCAGTGCAAACTGCATTTCTTATATAGAAAAAGGAGCACCTCATAGAAATAGCACAGAAAAGCAAATCTATAGTTTTTCAAGCTCTCTGGATGTCTCCTGGTAATCATTTCCTGCTTCAATTTTAGCTTTTATTTTATTTGCTTTTTAAATATAAGGAGAATCATAGTCCTGATTCTCCTTGAATAGCATTTGTCACTTTGCCATAAAATATAGAATGCTAAGTTTATGTTGTTTATTATTATTATTATTATTGTTGTTATTATTTTGGTCATAGACTATTCAGGTTCTTCCTGAACTCATGGTGCACAGATTCGTTGATAGCCTTCCTTTTCAGTATTGCTGTGTATGAAGTAATGACAACACATATGCATGCATAGCTGTGAATTCTGCCCTCTTTTTTCTTTCTTTTATTTTTTTCCATGAATACCTCTTGGGAACTGTTTCCAGTAGGTTACTTAACTTTATTTTGCTGCTAATTTGAGCATTAGCTGGTAACCTGCAAGGAGCCATTATGTTGAGGGTAGCTGGAATTTTCGACCCTTGCAGTGGTGAAGACTTGCTTATTCCACTCGTGAAGGTTACCGTAGTGCTCCATGTAACTCATTCAGCATGAGCCGTCACCCTGGCACCGAGCCCTGTACTAGACACTTCACTAGGTGTTGTCCTTGTGCTGTGTGGATTCAGTGGTTTCCCAAGCAGCGTTGTCCTGTGCTGTGGCCTGACTGCGGGGCTGGCTGCCTTTGATACCACCTCACCAACAGCCCCGCCCGTGTCAGCCACTGCTCTGGTTTTCCTGTATTGCTTTTATTTCCTGAAAAAGATGCACAAATGTGGGTTCATCAATATCAGGAATTGAATGTTTGTCTAATTTGAACCTGTTGTCTTTGTTAGGTAGATTTCATTTGAAATCTATCAGAAGCTCTAAAGCAGTCTTAGAATTATATTTTGATTAGGCAGAGGGTTTTAATAACACTTTTTTTCCATAGTCAGTTAAGCATTAATAGAAACTAGTTTGATTCTTACAAGGGTAAATATTTTTATTCGTGAGTCCTATAGGAATGGATTTTCCATTATGTGTAATGCCTTTGAAAAAAAAAAAAACCTCTACAAATCTCTTTAATTTTCCATGGGATCTAGAAATAAAATTTCTATAATATAATAAAATCTATAAACTATATGTCTATGGAATTTAGTCCTTGCTTCAGGTTTAATTAAATAGAAAAAATGCCAAGAAGTATTATGGCATTGGCCAGGCATCGTTAAGCTTTCTATTTCCAGGGTTGGTAAACAATGAAAATTTCATTATTCCTAACGACTAGTTACAACTTTAAGCCACAGAAAAGGAAATTTTTCCCCAAAGTTTGAAGGTGCTCTTTCAGGTGGGAGTATTGTTACTTGGTTCAATTTAGTTCTTTGTTAGGGTCAAGGACTTAGTCTGTCTGTCTTTCTTTTCTTTTCTTTTCTTTTCTTTTCTTTTCTTTTCTTTTCCCTTCCTCCCTTCCTCCCTTCCTCCCTTCCTCCCTTCCTCCCTTCCTTCCTTCCTCCCTCCCTCCCTCCCTCCCTCCCTCCCTTCCTTCCTTCCTTCCTTCCTTTTCTCAGTGATATTTGGCGCAATGATCATTATGTGCTTTGGGGTTAAAATCATCTGCTAAGGGTGGTGGGTCTGGGTTTCTGGTTGACACCTCGATGGGCCTGATGACAGAAGTCCTTTCCTTGTAGGCACCACGTAGTCACCAACAGTAGGGTTGCATTGGGAATGTTTGCTTGTTTACAAAAATTATTCTTGATTTCTCTTTCTGTAAACATCCAGTGCACTGGCCTGTCTCAATCCTTAAGACAGCCCTGTGCCTCACCTTTGTTAACCCCCTAGAGAATATGGAAGCACAAGGAAACTGAGGAGCCTTTTTTGGTAGGCCCTCTCCTGCCTTTTGTATTTTCTCATCCTAAAAGCAGCCAAACTGAAAGTATGTCCTAGCACGCTGGCCTGGTAGCAGTGGAATTGGTTGTTTGTGGTGTGTGCTGAAATGCTGTAATTGTCTGTGAGGCTGCCCGAGCTCTTTTGAAATCCTTCTTTCCAGCCTTCATTCATTCTGCAAATGTTCACTGAGGGCCTGTTTTGTGTTTAAAGACCTGCTGAAGCTTCAGGAATTTGCTGTAGCCAAAGAGCCCTGCCAGCATAGCTCATGAGGCTGGGAAGGCTGGCGGTGGGCTGGACGGAATGGCAGTCCTCTCGACAAAAAGATATGTTGGATTCTGGCTCTGGCTAAGGCTCATGGTCCTCTTGAGCATGTTTGTTTTGTCTGGAAACCAAAAGTACCCTTCATCTCTGCAGACATCCTGCTCTTCAATTTGCTGGTTCAGGCTGAGCTGCCTCTGCTGTTGGAGGACTTGAAAATCCAAGTCACTTTGCATTAGAATTTGGTCATCCATTTGTCTTGAGGTGGATATTGGGATTTTTCTCTGGGTTTGGGGAATTGTCATCCCTCTAAATGAACTATCATGAAAACGTCAGGAACAGTAGTGGCCGCTTAGGGCAATCGGAGCAGAGAACAGTGAACAAAGCTTATTTATTTCAGAGAAACACGTTTTTAGAAGTAGATGGACATCTGATGTTACATTTCATTCTGACAAATTCCTGAGCAGCTAAAGTTATTGTTTCCTAGGTAAGTTGTTTTGGATACGAAGATAGTGTTTCTGGGTTGAATTTTTGAAATAGTATGCAAATAATAAGCACAGTTTAAAATGTATTCTGAAGGCACATTGAAGCTTATATTATTTGGAATTGAGAAGGGTGAAATTTGTTGACAAACCAGTGCCTGTCGTAAACACAAAACACAGACAGACATGGCTGTGAGTGTGCACGCTGTCTTTGTCTTTAATTTCATGAAGGCAACATTATTGTTAAACCTGACTGCCTTTTTTTTTTTTTTTTGGGCAGGGGAGTCCAATGCCTTTATTTAACAGAACGCCCAGTGTCGCCCAGTGTCTCATGCTGTCTTTGGATCAACTCCCCAAGTGTTTGTTTTTGCAGCCACATTTTGGGCATGACCACTCATGATTCCCTCAGTAATGGAAAAGGTCTTGCATGCCCTCCAACTAATCCAAAAAGCATGCTCTTACTACCTATGCAAGCAACCAATAAAGAAAAGACTATACTAAATGTTAAGCATTAAAAAAAAAAAAAAAAAGCAACTCTTAGATTATGGAGCTCTATTTTTGAATTTGTAATTTTTCAAATGTGGCTTAATCCTCAGTGTAGATGAGCATGAATGTGATCTCTTGGTTTGCTTCGCATCTATTTCTCTTTGCCAATTTTTTTATTATTGGTGTGGTTGTATGTAAAATAATAAGTATTTTGGAAGCAGGAGTGGAATTGGAGATACTGAACATACACTGGTGTATATACTGTATTTAGCCTGAAGACTTTCCTAAAGTATTTTGTTCTAAAAATAACCTGCCATTTTCTATAGATTTTAATTTTTTATATCTTCTAGGGTTCTATCGTGGTCACAAGGAAAGAATGTGGCTTCAAACAGTGCTAACAATTTTAAAATGCTTTTGTAGAGACTTAGAGCTGTTTTGGAAAGCTGTGGAGCTTCCCACCCATTGGTCCCAGTGAGAACAAGGCTGTGGAATTTATGATAGTGTTGTGCAGTGGATTCTGATCTAGATCCATCTCATATTCACTTAAAAGCAGTGTTTCCCAGTGTGGAGGAGAAAGGGGTTTATGGCAGAGTTGAGAGCCACTTCTGAATGACTCATCTGAGATTGTGATACCCAGTGTTTACTAGAATCATCTAAAGAACTTTTAAACCTGGGACTCCTCCCGAGCTTTTGATCTAGGTAGTGTAGGGGCCTGTCCCAGGAACCACCATTACAGCTCGTAGGTGTTTCTGATTTGTAGTTGGAATTGAGAACCACTGCGATACACCCTTCGTTTGCCGAGAATTATGGTGATAATCACTGCCATATGAAGTCTCAAGAGTGATACCAGTTGCTCAGTTGTGTTAGGGAGGAAAATATCAACCTCCTGTTTGGAATATGAGGCCTTTCTGATTCCAGGCCTGATTCGGGGGGTGGATGGCTTGGCATTTCCCAGCCTGGTGGGAATTGGTGGTCTTGGGGTCTGCATCTTTCTCCAAAGTCTCCCCACCAGATTTCATGGTGGATCAGAAACCAACCCACTGAGGAGAAGGGAAGTTCCTCCAAGTGAGAATATTTGGGAGAATTAAAAAAAACACACACAAAAACAACCTTTCTAGCCTTGGAAGACCTGTCCCTGCTTTTGATAGAATGGTTGCCTTTTTGTAGTAATTGAAATAGCAAACCCCAGGCTGCTGTACTCAGCTCATTCTCTACTGTAGCTCTTACTTACCCAGAACGTAGTTTCAGGAATTCTTTTTAGTTTGAAATGAATGTGAAACATTTTACTTGGAATTTTTTTTTTTTTTTTTGTAACCCTCATTGCAGTTTTTTCGTGTAACTCAAGAAATACTCATCCAAAAACTTGGCAGTATGTTACCTATGGAGGCATATGACATTTAGTTTTAATCTGTGGTGAGCTGAATGCACTACAACATCTTCAAAATAATCTGCTGGGCTCGGGTGGTTTCATCCTGTCAAGCATTATGCTGCCTACAAAACGAAAAGAAATGTAATTTACCTGGTATTTTCAACATTTCAAGGAGTAAAGATAACAAGGAAATGTTTCTTTAGAAAGGCCTCCCAGAGGAGTGAGCTCTGTGGCAATTGGTAAGACGCAATATGAAATTTCCTAGGTGCTATTCTACACGGTGAGGTTTCATTAAACCAAGGGGAAAGGCAATTACGGTATTACCCAAGTTGAAGTTCTCTTTGAAGGCCTTTCAGGTATGCATTTGTGTTCAGGTATGGATTTGCCCACCAACTGTGCCTCTCACCACTGGTTAAAACTGAATTCAAGTCTCATTACCAGAGTAGTTTCTTGGTTGAACTTTTCCGTATTTACGCTGTAAAATCTGCATGTATATCACTGTACACAAAATGCTTCGGTATTGTTCACGCACCGTCCATAGTTCTGTGTAATTTTCTTTAGTTATACAGAAAAATGTAAGGCAGGATGTCTTTCCTAGAGGCTGGAAGAAAAGTGTATCATACATTTTAAATTATTTTAGGCCAGTGCATGAGATGTGTCACTGACTTCTGTTATTTATTTGTATGTTTTATTATTCAAGGTGTATGCACTTTTAAGAAGCAAAATTTATATTTTTATGTTTAAAACGTTTTATTTCTGAAACAGCAGTTGATTATATAGTATACAGTTGGAATTAAGAGAAAAGTGGAAAATGTAACAAAATATAATAAATTTATTACGTGATGCCCTCTTCAAGCCACATTCCTCTTTTCTCCCCCTTGCCAACCAGTATCTGTTTGGTGTTGACTAATGATGTTTGTACTACATCAATCTATACAAAATGCCTCAAAATTGCCATGTTGAATGTCAAAAAGCAAATTACAGGATACGTACAAAGACCCTTTAAGTAAAGTTACAACAAAAGGCGCACATTCATGAGGATATAATCTGCACAGTGATTGTTATTCCCATTTCCTCCCCGATGATCTGAGTTGTTTTCTCCTGGGCCAGGGAGTTGGACGAGAAGGAACTCACCTTCTGACTCTGTTCCAACAGACTTTTCAAAGTTTCCTATTGTTTTTCCTCTCCTACCAGATGTTTATGATAGGAAGAAATGGCGGCATAAAAGGGACCATCCATTTCTTGGCCCTCTCCTACTCCCATGTATTTAGTGTCTTGGTTTTTTGACTCTCCTTCTCTGAGGATGTGTCTTTCCAGCCGTCTTTCCTGTCCTTGCCGACAGAACTCGTTGCTGAGGATGTCACATCACTTATGACCACTTGGGGGCAGTAGAGATCGCCATTGTCAAATGTATTTAAAAACCCCAGTCTGCAGGTGCTTAGCCTCTGTTCTCTGAGTGTGGCAATGCTCATTCCGTATGAAATGAGAAAAGCAGCATCAGTGAGCAGGATTTCCCTTCAGGTGAGTACCAGCCATCCCATGTTCCTAGAAACTGGTGAATACAGATCATAGAGCAGATCTTGTTTTCCTAAAGTCGTTATTATGGTTTAGGGTAGGAACGGGGAGATGGTATTTCTAACCAAGGACTAGTGTGAGCCACGTATGAAAACCAGAGGTATAGATGGCACTTACAGCTTGTATTGTTTTAAATGAGGCAGGTTTATTTAGGTTTTGTTAGTCTAACCCCATAGTACAATGATTATTCAAGAGGCTTCACTATGCCTAAAAGTGTTCACATGTCACAAAATATATAGATTTGATAGTTATACAGATATTTGAGGATCACTTTGTCCCCTTAGAACTTGGAGGGTTGCTTTCAAATACTTGGTGTCTCTGAACACTTCTGTGCCTTTTAATTCTTCAAGAAAGTTGTGACAAAGCCCCTTGCCCTGGACCCAAGTTTCTGTGTGTTCAAGTGCCCCAGGAGTGATCTGAGGCCTGACTCGGCTGGAATGGCTGGAGGTCTGTCCCCAGACCCGGCACCTGCTCCCTGTTCCTAGGCAGACTCCACGGATCTCGGGATGGGGGGTTATCTTGCCTTTCCTCTGTGGCCCGTTCCTCTCAGCATCTCCACATGGCCCTGATGGTTGGTCTCTGGGTAGGTTGCACCCCTTCAGCAGAATCCTTTGGGATTCAGTCTTGATTTGGTCTGGTCTTGGCCATCCATGTTTTTCACACTCTGCCAACATTTGCTGCACAAAGTGGGGACAAGGGTTCTTTTTACCCAACATGATAAAATTTGGCACATGTAACCCAGTGGCTTGCACCCCGTTTTCAGGGGTACGTTAGGCCTGCTCTTTGGGTTTATAGCAGCCCTATTTTTCTTGAGTGTGAGAAGTGGGTATAAACGAGACCACAGTGATTAGTCCAAGTCAGGCCTCCCTGCCTCTGGTGGAACCTTGGGCATGTGACATCCTCTCTCTCTTGTGCCTTCACTTTGTTTAGGAAGGACCCATAGCGCCTGCAGTATACATATCCAATTCCAGGGACACGGTGACAGGGTGTCAGTTATGTCTGTCCTCTTGAGGGGCATGGAAGGCATTGGCGATGGAGCAGTGTGATTGAAGATTGACTGTATCAGCCTCAGATTCTGAGTCCACAAAAGTTTGCATAGAGAAGGTGCCAATTTGCTATCACACCTAGAATTGAGTCCAGGCACAGAGTGGTTCCTTAGTAAATGTTCACGTTTGCTCAGTCAGTGGGTTGACTGCTTAACCCTTCAGCGTTAACCTTCCTGTCTGGAAGATGGAGAATAAAGGTACTTGCATCATCCGGTTGTGAAAAGCTTCAGTGGGAACGAGGCTTAAAGGATGGAGCACGGTGCTGGGCTCCGAGGCAGGGCTGGGGAGTGGAGGAGAGGGCAGTGGAGAATAACTCATATTCCAGGCAGGAAAAAGTGCTGTGCTTTCTGGCAACCTGCTAGAATGCAGGGCAGGAAGCAGTAAATGAAATGGGTGCGGGAGGGACATTTTATGACCTCCTCCATTTGTTCTGAAGTAAATGACAATCCAGGGTGAGATTTTAATTTAGGAGAGAGACGATATCCATTTTGTGCCATAGCATGGTTACCATGACAACAACATGGTGTCACCAGAGAGCCTGGTTAGCAGTGTGTGCCAGAAATCTGAGTGCAGGGTAGGAAGGCAGACCTAGAGCCTGTTTCTCAAACATTGGGCCCACTGCTGCTAGAGTAGTGGACAGGAGATGTGCTTACCTAACGTGCATACCGCTGGTCACCAGGCCTGTGACCTTGACTTGTTGGCTGGACAATCAGGACAGGTTACTCAACTTCTCTGTGCCTCAAAACCTGCACCTGTAAAAAGATATCTTTGTGACCATTGTGCAGCTTAATTGAGGAGGTTGGTTTATTTATATTTAATGTAGTTTTGAATGTATTTGGTTTTATCTACTCTATTTATCCATACTGTATAAGAATTGTTATTATTTTAATAGTACTTCTCAGCCTCTGAAATTCATTCTTGGGTTCGTCATCCCTCTCCCCCAGTGGAAGGTAGTAGTTCCCATGACAGCAGAGTCTTTGGTCTGTCTTTCCTCCCATATGGGTCTAGTTCTGAAGGCTTTCAGCTCTGCCTAACAGAATGTCCAACCAGAGCTGGTGCCCTGTTTCAGTTTTGCACGTATGTATACCAAGGCCCGGAGAGTAAATAACTTATCTCCAAATCGCTCAGTATTGAATGGAAATCTTGGGTATGGACTATGAACTTGGGCCTGTTTTACTTCACAGCTTGTATTTTGGTAACTTATTCCTCCAACACCCTACACTAGATTAAACAGGAAAATTTAATAATGAACACAGCCAACTGCACTTGGTAATACACTTACAGGAAGGGGGCCCCCTTGGATTGGCTATAATCTTTTTCTTTGCAGTCCCTGAGTAAGGTGTACTGCTGCAATTCTGAAAGTGATGAAATTTCTGCATTTTGGTAATGGAATTTCAGAGCGCCTCCTTGGCTCGAATTTTTTTAAAAAAATGTACAGAAGGGCTGGGGTTGTGGCTCAGTGTAGAGTGCTTGCCTAGCATGCATGAGGCACTGGGTTTGATCCTTGGCACCACATACAAATAAACAAATAAAATAAAGGTATCGTGTCCATCTGCAACTAAAAAAAAAATTTAAAAATGTACAGAAAATTCGCAAAAACAATTTCAGTGAATTCCCATACACCCTTCAGCCACCTTCCCTGAGTAACAGCAGCTTGTAGCACAGTGATCAAAACCAGAAACTAAGTCAGAACAGTACAGATGATGTGGATCTCACCCATTTCTCCATTTAGGTCTTTTCTGTCTCAGAACCCAATCTCAGATCCCACACTGCATTTAGTTGTCTTCATAACTCCTCCAACTCCTCCGTCGTTTGTGACCTTGACACTTCCAAAGAGTACCAGCCGCTTACATAGGACATTCTTCCATTTTGGGTCTGTCTCATGTATTCTCATGAATTGATTGAGGTTTTGCTTTTTTTTTTTTTTTTCTGGGCAAGAGTACCACAAAAGCAATGTGCCCTTCTCGGTGCTTCAGGGGGAAGGAGGCGTCGATAATGACTCTACTGGTGATCTTGACCTTGATCGCTTGGCTAAGGTGGGTTTCACCGCTGTGGAAAGTTGCTCTTTTTATCATCATTATACAATTTGGCGGAGATCCTTTTTTTAGGCCATGCAAATATCCTGTTTCTCAAACACTGGGCCCACTAATTTTAGCATCTATCAATGTGGACCTCACCTGCAACGATTTTTATTACTGTGGCTTTCTCATAGTGAAGGATATTTTAAAATACCCACTTGGTGAGAAGTCCAGAGTCAGGGCAGGTGCAAGGGTCAGCTCAGTCCTTCAGGGGTGTCGTCTAGGACCATGGCTCTTTCCCTTCTCTCCACCATCCTTGGCACACTGATTGTCCTCAGATTTGGCCTTCCGTGACCGATAAAGTTCTGCAAACGTGACAACATCCAGTTGAAGAAGATGGGACCTTTCTCTGCCCAGGTCTTTTTTCACCAGAAAGCAAACTGTTTCCCAGAAGCACCTCTGCTCTCTGAAAACTTTCCTGCAGATCCCACGGAGCAGGATCTGGGTCGCCAGCCCATGGCCAAGGGCAAGGAAGGTGAAGGAGGTATCTGGCGCTCCCAACTGGGGTGGGGGAGGGGACGCCGGCACAGATGACCCACGGGACAGTGAGTCTTGTGGAGGCAGCCACATGGCGCCATCCTGGCTCCTAGGGCAGTGCCCGCCTCCGCCAGGGCTCAGCAAATCTTGGTGGAGTGAGTGGGGTTCTTCTCTGCTGCCTGGAGTTTGGGGACCTACGGTTACCCAGGAGCATCAGAGCTCTTGACCGTGGAATCAGAAGACAGCAAGTAGGAGAGTGGATCAGGGGAATGGAGAGGAAAGAGCGACAGCCCTGGTGGCCAGGGTGGGTCCCTGGTGGGACAGTTCCCAGCTCCACAGTGCCCTGGGTTTCGTGGTGCCTGGATCTCCAGCACAGTGCTGCACCTCTGGTCTTTCAGGGCTTCTACCAAAGCCCTGGAGAGACCTCAGGTGGCATTTTGGAAGGAAGGAAAGCAGAGGAACCCGTGTTCTCTGCCCAACCACCCTGCTCCCAAGGTTGACCAGAGGGAGCGGGCGACGGGAGGGCTGTTCCCCATGCACTCGTGAGTCTTGCTCTGGGGGCCTCCAACACAGCCTGGTAGCTTGTTTGGTAAATAATGACATTGTTATAAATATTTAATAAGTCAAGGGACTGCAGTGCATGAAAAATTGATGAGGTCCCTGGGTGGGAAACG